CCTTATAATGGAATATTTAAGTTCATATTCTTTACAAATGTGTACTGATTTTAAATTAGAAACACTACACAATCTGTAAACTTTCAGCTTACCGGCAGAAACACGTGACCGTCTCCTCAACGTCCAAGGGTAGCGACAGCTGCGTTGCTGGGCCAGCTCCTGTTCCAGCTGCTCCACCAGCGCCACCACCACCACCTCCTCCTCCTCCTGTTGCAGAACCACCTGCACCTGAGGTATTCCCCTTGCCACCGTTCTGACCATTGGCATTCTGGCGCGGCACAGCCCGCCCAGGAATGTGACGCGACGACGCGTGCAGGAAGGTGGCGGCGAAAGTAGACGAGAGCGAGGAATGCGAGGCCGAGGTGCGCGGCGTGGAAGCGGTGGGCGTTTGTGGAGCTGTCGAGGAACCATCGCCGGCATCCGCCAAAGGAACTGAGGAATAGCGAACGAGGATCGCACGGCTGACGCGATTGCCGCCCGTGAGATTTGAGATGGCCCAGTTCATGGCCTTTTCCGGAGGTGCTTGAGGTACTGGGGAACTGACCGCTTCTACCGCTCGAGTGCAACTGAGCTGCTGGCCGGGGCCAGAAGCTAGCGTAAACCCCCTTAAGGGGTGGTGGTGGTGCAACCTTCTTCGCACATACTAAATATACACAATCTTGGCCTGTAAAAAAATTGATTTTGTCTAGTGATTTGAGCCACGCCCCACAGCTTGGACTGGGCCGCGCTGTCAATCAATGGGTGAAGAAAATAAAAAGTGGCCAACAGTCGCTGATATTCCCTCCCTTTTGCCCATTTATGTATATATGTATATGTAGCCTCCCTTTTACCCAGTGCATTTGTTTTACCCATTTGTTTTTTGTAGTTGCAATTTTCCCTTCTTTTTTTTCCTCCCTGCACTTGCACCCTGTAACCCAGCCTGGGTTGCCGGCTAATTCAATTAGAGTTGTACTAAGTGCGCTTCAAGGCTGTCGGAATGCACACGCCGCCAGCGGAACAGCGAGGGTTGCTAATGAGGTACTATACTCTGCCTTGGAAATTCTTGGCATCCAAACCATATTTCTTGAGAAAAATGGTATTTAATTATAGAAAGTATAAGAAAGAATATAATTAACTTGGCAAAGATCAGGAAATATAATAATATAAGCTTGAAAATATTCAAAAAATGTGAGCATAAGCATAAGAAACCTTTTTTGAATCCTTAATTTAGTAAAGTTCAATTCTCTTAGTTTAATTTCCTATAAAACATTTCCCTTGTCTCTTCAAGGACTTGTCTTAATCTCCTCCTTGAACTTTACCTTCTTCCAAACCAATTTCAAATTAAATATTAATTTTTATTTACCTAAATAAACAAACATGTCCCCATCTCGAATAAATATATATTCCCCCAGTGCATGTAAAAGCCCTCTTTGCTGGCAAGGGAAAAAAATCGATAGCCTTTCTCTTGCCACATTTTTAATTGTTTTGCCAGCTCTAATGAAAGCCCGCTCCAATGGAGGGCGATGACGTCCAGCCCAGGCCACCCAAAAAAAAGAAGAGGCACCCTTTCCCCACAGATATCTCCGTACTCGTATGATGTTGTCGTCCTCCGCTGGCAGAGCCATCAACTGATGTGTGTACTTTTCCCCTTTTTTTTGGCGTATGGGGTGTGACATGTGACACAATTTGTTTGTTCTTTGTTGCTCTCACATCGGTTTTTTTTTTGTTTTTTTTTTTCGTGTGTTCCTTTGCCTATTTGGATGCTGTGACAAGTCCACAAAAGATTGGCCCTGTGTGTGCGCGTCCCATATATATGTAGGTTTATATAGTATATAGCTATATAGCTTTTACTAACGACTTTACCATCTGGCTTTGTAGGGAAAAAAGAACAAACACACACGTACATACGTAATCATCAAATTGTCAGTGGGATGTGCGGACTTAATTTGTCCAACGGACCAGGGAAGCCATTCATTAAACCCTCCCAGCCTCGATGTCTGTTTCTAATCAACTCGATTTCCGCATTTCGCCACCGCTCAATTTGTCTATTTAATCACTAAATTGTACTTAATTGCTTTTCTTCTTCAACTTTGGTCCCTTTTAAATATAGTATGTAATTTTTGGGTAGTTTTCGCACAGGTATGTATATAGGGTACAAAGTCAAGGGTTTACAACCCTTAAATCCGTGCTTAACACTGTCGATTCGGGATTAAGGGTCTGAACTTAATGGTAAGGGTTCATACTTGACTGTCCGGTTGTCACGAATATAATTAGCGAAAGGTTTCGGAAAGGCCAATAGAAAATTAGGGTAGGCAATAGATAAATCCGGTGAAAGGGTCCTTGAAATAGAGCCTAGGATTAATGCAAAGGGAAGAAAAGACATGAAATATGGATTAAAATAAAATAACAAATTGACTAGCGACTCGTTTATATAGGAGGTTGAATAATCCTTATATTTATTTGAACTTCCTTGGCAACAACTAGGCACATCTTATCCTCAAAAGGTTTGGGAAAGATTGCCAAGTTAAGGGTTGAGAGCTGATTGTTAAGAGAGAATTCAGAGTTTTATTCGTCTATTGTCTAGCAGAAAGGTAGATTCCTACCTCTACCCTTTTTCCTCATGCAACCTTTTCTGGAAATTGGGGTATCTTTGCCTAAAGATTTTGGTCCTTAGCATTTTTTTAACTCTTTAAATGATTTTTTTTTATAAAGGGGTAACATTTAAGCTGGCAATTAATTTTGTACAATTTTTCAATTGAATGGAGAATTCTGAATAATTAATAAATATACAATAAATACATACATCAATTAAAAGAAAATTATTTTTTTATTATTTTATTTACATTCCCATTTTAAAAGCGTCTTTACCGGGGACTCAAGTGTGGTAATGAAATTGGCAAGTTCATTAAACCTGCTGGCTATCTGTAGAATTCCGTCCCTGCTTGGAGGCATAAACAAAAGGCGAAAGGCAAAGCAGAGAGAACGATGCAAAGGAGAAGAAGTGGCGGAGAAGCGACGAAGATGGGCACAAAAATAAACGCAACGCAATCAAAGTGCAGCGATGGCCTTGCGACTCCGATTCGTGGGAAGAAGAAGGCGATCACACGCACACAGACACAAGACGCACAACAGGGGCGGATGCAGAAATGCATTAAAAGGGGCGGTGATTTAAACAAATACTTAAATGTTTATTAAATAACATTATATACAGTTTCTTATTAATAATTTAGTTATGTTTGTTGTTAATAAATACGTACCATAAAAGTCATAATAATAAATAAGTTGTTTTCCAATAAAAGGTTTTGTAAAAAACTATAAAATTGATCATTAGTTATGTTTCTTTATTATTATCCAACCGAAGTAAACAAGGTTCTATTTACCACAGAACCCCCCCTGAAGAAGCCACTGACGCACACACGTACATATGTACAATACATACATATAATCGTGATTCGAATTTCTTATGGAGTTCAGTGTGTAAGTAAATCAAAACACTTGCGGCTTGGTAACCGATTTGAGAAATCGATAAAATGCCCATTGATTTTAGTACGCCGCCAATCACAACAAAGAAATATCCCTACATAAAAAATGGTAGCACAAGTTTTTCGAACAATTAAGTTGATGTTTCATAACTTGACCACACACATGTCAAGGGTTAATTTGCAGGGTATTACCGGGGTCTACTCCTGTGGGAGACACGACGAAAAAAGAAATTTCTGTCGGCGAAAATGCGAAACGAGGCCAATTGGCAAAAGGCCAAATGGCGACGAAAAAGAGTAAGCAGACGAGAAGAGAAAAAAAAACACACAGAGGACACAAAAGACACAGAGCCGAAACGAGAGACGCGAGACGAAGGAGACCCACCAAGTGGCCATCCAAATGTACCCCCCATATATATTTTTAGGGAAAAACTTCGCATTTGGGGGACATTTTCACCGACACATAATTGCACTTTGGATTATGCTGCGGGATTTGCGCTTAAAAGTGTTATGTATTGACTCACCCCATCAGCCAATCGACCGTGTCGCGCAGATATTCCGGAATTCGCTCCAGTTTGACGGCTGTTTCTGCTGCTGCCTGCTAATTTTCCAAAGTTTTTCCCCAGCTGAGGGAACGCACACACACACACGAACGCACTCGAGAAGCGTACACACGCACACGCACACACGAAGACGGGTTGTGGGACGCAGACACGGACACCACCGCCACCAGGATGTGGAGATCACCGGGCGAGCCAATCGACACTTTTACTTTTGTCAATCAATATTTGGGTAATTCGTTTTGAAACTTTGCACATCAAATTTTTTCCTGCTTCTTCTTCACTTGTTTGTGCACTTTGTTGAGTCCCGTTGTCGATGCGAAAACGATTACAATCGATAGACGGCTCTGCGCACGCATTCGATAGCAGCTGCGCAGAGTGGTTGGATAGGGTTTTGTTAATTAAAAATTAAATGGTGTTATTTTTGGAGTTTTCTTTTATAATAACGATTTTTTTAATGTATGTTGCATTAATATTTAGTTGCGTTTAATAGTATTCATCGTTTTTATTTGGAGTGTGCAGCCCTGGTTGTTGCCTATCAGCTGTGTGGTTTTCTGGGCGCAACAAGGGGGGTCATAATCGATATAATAATATATCTTATGGCCTATATAAATCAGATAGGTAAATAACTAGTCTTATAATTTATAAAACATGCACTTAATTTAAGTTTATTTGAGCGTTTAAGTCAAGACGATTTATTTTTAATTATTTTTATAGACCCCCTTGAAATTTGTTTAGGCCACACCTCTGCCTTGCAGTAAAAGTTATCGTAAAGAATAAACAATACAACTTTTTAGGGAACAAATAAAGAAAATCATTCTAATATAAGGGTGGCATTAAAATAAAACAGTGTTTTAAATAAATTAAGACATTTGCAAATGTTTTTAAACAGCCTGAAATCCATTTTGTCATCGATAGTTCAAATCGATGTATGGTGGCAACTCTGTTACCATCGATTACAAAACTGCTGGCAGCATGCTGTGTTTCTCACTAATTCACAGCTGATATTGAAATTACATAAATATGGTACAACGTTAGCTCATTTTTGGTCGAAAACAATTGTGAAAATCTCGAATTTCTTCCCTTTCATATTCGTAATTTGTAACGTGCGATGGCAACGAATCAACAACAAACACCTCAATTCAAGGCGAGCTCTGTGATCCTGGCCGGACTTGGAGTGGCCGCCGTGGGATTCGCCGGCAAGCACCTGATGCGCCGCATGCCCCAGATGACCACCAAATTCAACGAGGCGCTCAAGAGCATGCCCAAGTTCGATGCGGAAAGCATGGCGGCGTCCAAATACTACAAGGGCGGCTTCGATCCCAAGATGAACAAGCGCGAGGCGGCCCTCATTCTAGGCGTCAGTCCCAGTGCCACCAAGCAGAAGGTATTAAAGATGTAATTGGTATTAAAGATTGTAATTCTTGTATATCTTACAAATCATCATTCCCCTTGCAGGTTAAAGACGCGCACAAGAAGATTATGCTGCTGAATCATCCGGATCGAGGAGGTTCTCCCTATTTGGCGGCCAAGATCAACGAGGCCAAAGACTTTTTGGACAATGCTAAGTAGTACTCATCTTACTCCTTCCTCGAGTGTAAATAAAGTAGTTTGTGATTAGTGTAAGCTCAAGTCTGCGTTTATTTCTCGAAATTTAAATCGGCAAATTCTTTATATAGGCATCCCAGTCCAAACCCCAGATCTACGTGGTCCGGATTACATTGGCAATGGTATCTCCAGCAGATAATGAAATGTATTCTGCACACTAACTGCTCCCCCAAATCGCATTCTTTTAAACAAGAAAATTTAATTTATTTAAATTAAGACCAGAAGGTTTTATAAAATTAAATACTTAATCTTACTTATGCGCATCATTGGGTTGTGCATGGCAGACAGTTGTTTGGTGTTTAAGCAGGCAATTAGAAGAGTAATAATTATTTTTAAGACACACTTCATGGCTTGGTGACTGGTTACTAAATGAGATTAATTGATCATAAGCTTTTAACAATAGGAAAAAGTATAAATGTATATAAGAAATCTGTTTACACAGCTGTTACTTGGTAAATCTATCCTAGAGAAGGTGTGACATCTAGTTTAGGTTAAAAGTTTGCTTATTACCTTCGTCATTTCTAGTAAAAGTTTAATCTAAAATTAAATAAATACCGCCAACAAGGACTAGCTAGGACGAGTTAAAAACTAAACTTATGATTTATTGAGTTCGAAGCTGGAAAACCTTTGGTTACACTTTGAAAGAACACTTTTACTTGATTTTTAATTTAAATATTTTTTTTATCATAGACTTTAGAATTTCTTTAATTATTTTGGTTATTTTCCATTGATTAAAGAAGAATGGCAAAGCCAACTAACAAAAGTTGAAAAATCCCCGGCCTAATCCCAGACAGCAGCTAATAATAACAGTTATTTAAACAATTGCTTTGTGGATTATTTAACTCTTTGCCAATTTTTTTGTTTATTTAACACCGCAAAATATTCTCACGTCAAACATGTTAGCATATACCCAAAATTAAGGCCCGCTACAGTTTTTGTTTGCTCAGTTAAACTACAAAATAACTGTGAGGGGTATAAATAGTGCCAGCTTTGATCCAAAATAGCATCAGTTGATCACATCCAACTATCAAACCAATAGACATGAAGTTCACCTGCGCTCTGCTCCTGCTAGCCTCCGTGGCCTGTGTCCTGGTGAGCCTCTCCAGTGCGGCCAGTTCCACGACCACCACGGAAGCCACTTCTTCTGGCACCACCACCACCACTGCAGCCTCTTCGTCCTCGGACACCACCACAACCACTACGGCCTCCTCCTCGGACACTACTACCACCACAGAAGCCTCATCCTCTTCGTCGTCGGGCAAGAAGAAGACCAAGAGACACTTCAAGCGGAAGATCCATCGCCCCAAGAAGATCACGAAGAGACGTCGCAACAGGAATCGCAGCAACCGCAGCGGTTAATCAACGTCCCGAGGCCTCCAAAAAGAATCCAGCTCTTCCACTTTCCGACTTTCTAAATACCTGAATACCTCAATGGCTTTATAATTTTAATTTTAAATGGCATAAATAAAAATACTAGTATACAAAAAGTACTTGTAGAGTCTTAATTTACTATTTTTTTATGAACCTAATACATAAATATGAAATTATAATAATTTTCCTAGTAGATTTTTCTTAGGTATCTACTTTTTTCTCATTTCCTCACGGAACTGCCGAATAGATGCCATTTTCTGGGAATCTTCTTGATTGTCCATCAGTCCCTGCCAGATCAAGTCAAAATCCTCTTTAGAGATATATCCTTCAAAAATACGTTCCATTTCATCTTTGGCTCGGGCCTTTTTAAAGTCACTTGGCCACAGGCCGCACAAGGTGGTTGGATCCGGATTGATAACATCCACGACCCGTGTGTTATTCATGTCCTCCTGAATGGGTGTCCTGTGGGGATGCTTGTTGACTCTATCCTGTGGAGGCTTCTTGACTGAATCAGCACACATCTGGCCATAGGTAGTGTCACTATTATACATGGTCTCCGGTAAGGGCGAAATGGAACCAATCAGGGGCAGTGGTTTCTGAATGGAAAGGAGATCGCACAGATCCTCGTACTTCACACGCTCCCCGCAGCAGTTCTCGTCCACAAATAAATGGAAATGGGAGGCTGCAGTGCGGATCTTTACAGCATCAGCTGGAATATTCATGTTTCTCATGATCTGTATGATCTGTGCTAATGGTAACAGACGAGTTCCCTCGGTATCCTTCTTTTGCAGGGCCACAATTAAATCGTTTATATTAAATTCGTAACGTCTTTGGAGTAAGTTGCGCAGTTTGTTTATGTGGCTAATCGCATCAGTCATCTGATTGGTCCGAGATGAGAGAGAGGTCTGCTCCAGTAGGGATTGTATGTTACCATTAGGTTGCGACATGAGGCCAAAGGTCATGTTTTTGGGGAAAACATAAGGATACCAGCTAGAGAGGGGAGTAGGAAAATGATTCATGTTTTTAGAAGTTCTAAAACAAAAAAAAAAAACTACACTACATTGGGGACAAGTTTAATCCTGTTTGGCTCAGGACTTTTAGAGTGACCAGGTTGAAATTAGGTGCCTACAACTGTACTTGAAACATCATAAACTCTGGACTTACTTGAACTTCCTTCCCAAAGGCGCTTTTGTGCGATCGTCTAAATCCATTTTCGGCTTCTTAATTATTTTCAGGTGCTCCTCGCCTTCATGCAGGCAATTCTTTACCTTGCTACCCGTATAATCGGTATGAGTAGGAACACCAAATGTATCAAACCGATTAAATTTCTCCGTATATCTTAAACAAAATAATTAAATAATAAATAATCACGTTAGTAAAAAATAAAACCAACCTTCGATTGATCTGTTCTGCGGGAAAATAGTGATTATGACTTAGGATATGCTGATCATGGAAGTCGGCATACTCCCGATTGACCTGCTCGACAGTTTTTTGGGGCAATATAATCGAGTACACAGACTCTTCGGGTGGGGCGACTCGACCAAAGGTGCGACTGATATTGGTAACAGTATCCGGTTTCGAGTAGGTCTCCATGGCATGACCCAAAGCGGACTTCCGGTGGAACAAATTTTCTTTACCCTCCGAAAAGGGTCCCTCCTTTCGAAGATGTTGATCGAACTGGTCTTGCATATCCTTTTTGGGATACATGGGCGTTCTTTTGCCATATGGTTTGGGTTGGAGTCGTCGGCAGTGGGCCAGAATCTGATTCTCCGCCTCCTCACCAATGTGTAGGTTCACACAGCACTCCTTGGCACCGTACATATCCTCCGGAGTCTTGTAGGAAGAGAGTCCTGCAGCCCGCAAATTGGGATTTCTATCTATGTAATGGCCAAGATTTGTCATTATGTGGGATTAAGGTATTTTGTAATGATTGTTTAAGATTAGCTGTTGACTTTTTTGGGGTATAGGGTTTGTGTTTTATTGTAGAGGCTGACAGAACAGCTTGCTGGGATGATTAGGAAGAGAGAATCAGATGGCTAGAAGGCTTCAAAAACCCTCGAGGTTGCTACTTGAAAAGCTCTTTTTCTGTAAAATATAAATAAGAAATTATTACAAGGTTTATATCCTCAATTTACATTCTTTTTTGCTTAAACTTAATTCTTGAATATATTACTTTTTATTAATATTTACAATTGCTTATAGTAATGTAATAATGTCACCTAAAAAACACCACAAAACTATCAAGTGGAAGAAGTGGTTTCTTTTTCCATCTCTTTGCGAAACTGAGTCACGGATACCAGACCATCCTGCTCTAGGGATTCCTTTTGCTCAACCATCAAACGTTCCCAGATAGCTTCAAAGACCTCTTTGGACATAATACTCTCGAATATACGCTCCATCTGGGCCTTGTCCCGCCGATAGTTGAAATCGCTTGGTGTCAGACCCATCTCTATAACGCAATTCGGCGTTATTATGTCACTGAGCTTGAAAATGGCATTGCGTCGGTATGGTCGATCCCCTACGGGTTTTTTAAACCGATCGCTGGTGAAAATCCTATAGGTTGTCTCCTTGTGGTACATGTTGTCTGGCACAATCCTAGTTTGCTCTACATCTGGTAGTTTTATTTGGATGGAGAGCAGCCGACAGAACTGGTCATAGTTTACCCTTTCCGTGGCACAACCCTCGTCAATGATCATTCGGAAGTGGGCCAATGTGGTGCGTATCTTGGCCTCATGGACTCGGATATTCAGTTTGTACATGGTCTGGAGTATAAGGGGCAGGGGCATGTGACCCGTGTTCTCCTTGTCGATCCTCTCCAGACTGGCCAACAAATCGGTCATGTCGAAATCATTCCGCTTGTGCAGGCTATCCCGCAGTTCGTTCAAATAGGAAAGAGCCTTATCCAGGGTGTCATCTAGCTCGCAGGGATTTATATTTTCTAAAAGCATTTTCGTGGTACATTTATCATGTTTACAAGTGCCAAAGTTGAGGTCAGGGACTTGATATAGGTATCTGAAGATCAAGAAGAGGAAAACTCTATTTTAAACTGTAAACTTTATTAATAAATAAATAAATAAATGCTATCATCAGATGATAGTGTAACTTAACTGGGTCAAATTTCCTTTAATCAGGTAATCAGGTTACTAAATCGCTAGTACTAACAAACAAATTTTTAAAAATAGTCTTGTCTATAAAGCTCATAATTTCTAGTCCTAAATGGGCCCACACTTGAGTAAATAAATAAGAACAAACTGAAGACAAGAGTGGATAGTAATTACTCGCTGACGTAGTGTTGTATCAGTTGTTATAAACCCACATTTTTGGCTAAGAACGATTTTGAATAATTAAAATCTTAAAAAAAAATGTCTATAATTTTATTTATATTTATAATTCTTTAATTTTATATTATTTTCTACTTACTTTTCATATTTTCTACCCAAAGGCGCTTGAGTACGTTGAACAAACTCCATCCAGGGCTTGTTGACCACCGTTAAGTGCTCGTCACTTGGTTCTAAACATTTTTTCATTACGGAACCACTGGGCTCTCCTCCTTGTAATATGCCAAAGGTTTCTTTAGGATTAAAGGGTTTTGTGTATCTAAAATAAAAAGCTATTAAAATTTGTGATAAAAATTTAAATCATAAAATAATAACATAAAAGAATTGCATACTTTCTGGCAAAACAGAATAAGTTATATCTTTTTAATTTAATTTGAAATATTATTCTTAAATATTTAAAAATATAAGAGAAGGTTTATTTCTATTTTTTGTGTCAGAAAAACATCTCAAAAACCATAAATAAACTTTTAAACCCACCCACGATTAATCTTCTCCGCTGGAAAATAATGATTATGACTGACAATGCGACCTCTATGGTACTCGGCATATTCCCGATGAACCTGCTCATCCGTCTTCCTTGGCATTATGGTGCTGTACAAGGATTCCGATGGTGGAAGCACTCGACCAAAGGTCTGACTCCAGTTGTTCACATGACTCGGCTTTGAGTGCGTGGCCATAATCTCTCCTATTTCGGCCGACTTGGTCGTAAAGTGTGTCTCCGTGGTGAGTATATCCTGGATGGTAGTATCTGTAAAGCATGGCGTACGTTTACCTATTGGCTCTGGCTTTTTCCGCCAACACTGCTCCTGCAAATGATTGCGGATAATATCCAAAGGATCCGCAGTGAACAGAAGTTCTCTGAAATTTGGTTCTCCTGGTAGAGACGGCAATCCCGCAGCCCTTTGGTTGCCATTCCTCTCGATATAGAGCCCTTTATTGGCCATTGTTTTTGTTAGTTTTTGTCTTTTTTGTGGTGTCAAGTGTTTAAATGTAAATGTTTTGTTGTTTGTGTGTTTTGTTTGGTTTAAAGATTATTTCGACACTTAAAGAAACATGTACTATATTTTTGAAAATTTATTGATTGAAGAATTATAGAATTTTAAAGGCTGATCCTTTAGCCCCTCCTGCGGGTCACAACCACGACGGTCTTGATGCACCTCTTGGGGTTCTTGCACTTCTTCTTGGGAATTCGAGTGTGGCACCAGTTGTTGCTTCTGTTGCACTTGATCTTGTTGGGGGAGGAGGTCGTGGTCGTGGTCGCGGTTGTAGCCGCAGTGGTTGTGGTTGTGGTCGTGGTGGCCGCTTCAGTGGTTGTGGTGGTTTGCGATGCAGCCAACTGGATGGCCAGGACAATGAGGATAGCCACAAAGAGGAACTTCATTTTAAATGCTGATTGCTGAGGGAAAACTGTTGCTGAAGTATTGAACGTTCGAGTGTTGTTATTAGCTCCAAGTAGGGGTACAGCTTTTATACCTAAAGATCAACTTCCGTTTTAATTGGGTTTGTAAACATTATAATCTTAGATTTCCGTAAGAATTAATGGAATAGCAAATACCCAAAAGTAAATATTTGTTAATCAAAGTTTAAAGTAAAGTAAACTTCAATGGGTTTTGTCAGCAAGTTATAACATTGAAGATTGATTCTTGATTCTTGTCATATTCTTGTTTATATAAAGACAATAATTTGGTAAATGTTGTTTTTGACTTGAGCTAGCAATTGGTGGAAAAAACTTATAGACCAATATTTGTTCACTACTTCAATAAAAAATCAAGAAATTAACTTAACTTTTAACAACTTGAAATATCTTCTCAAAGAAATAATTTATTACTCTATCAATAAATACTACATCTTATATATATTTTTTAAATTTATATTAATTATTGTTATTTTATTATATTTTATATTTTCCATTTATATTACTTTTTTTTTTGTTCCCTAAAAATTCTCCTTTGCCAGCTTTACTTCCTCTGAAAACTGTGTGACCGATGCCAGACCCTCTTGATCCTGCTTCTTGGCCATCAGGCTCTGCCAAATCACCTCGAATTCCTCCTTGGCGATGAGATTTCTAAAGACTTGTTCGATTTCCTTTTTAGGACGTAGCTGGGTGAAATCGCTGGCTTGCAGGCCACCCAAAGCATCGGTTTCCGGCGATAGGAGTTCCTTCATACCAGTCCTATCCTTTTCCACCTTGTGTCCTCGCGAAACCTTTTGCTGATTCTGAAGATCGGCACAAAACAACCGATAGGTGGTATCCAGGGAACCCACATCGGCATAAGTGGACACACTACCCATGGAGGGCAGTGGTTCCTTGCTGGAGAGAAGCTTGCAAAACTCTCGGTACTTCACTCGCTCACTGCAGAGCCCCTCATCAACGATCATTTGGTAATGGGACATCACAATTCGTATCTTTTGGGTCTCCAGGGAAATGCGGTAGCTACGCAGGATCTCCACGAGGCGAGCGATTGGCAGGAGACCCGTTAACTCCGGATCGCTACGCTCCATAATTGCAACCAGGCGGGGCAGGTGGATATCATCACGCTCTCGGAGCCGTATACGCTGAGCATTCAGGTGACTTAGGGCGTCCATTAGGCGATCGGTTCGCCCATTCGCAACGATGTTATAGATAACCGTCTTGACATCGCCAGTGCTGGGTGGAATCACACCAAAGGTGATGTCGGGAACCTCATAAAGATACCTTTTAGGGATAAAGAAAATGAAATTAAAAATATATATTTAAAAAATTGTTATATACTTTTTAATTTTCTTTCCCAAAGGAGCCACTGTGCGTTCCATAAAGTCCACTTGAGCCTTGCCAATAACTTTCACGTGGTTCTCACCCTCCGTCAGGCAGTTTTTCACCTTGAGTCCATGGTCACCTATTTTTTTGATTTCTCCGCAAGGATTATGCCGGTCAAAGGACTTGCTATATCTAAAAGAAAATATATTTTTATATAAATATTTTCTTTATAATTTATAAGACCTACTTGCGATTGATTTGCTCTGCTGGAAAATAATGATTGTGGCTAACAATACGCTGCTCATGGAACTCTTTAAACTCCTTACTAACCTGCTCTGGTGTCTTGGGTGGCATTACCAATGCATACAAGGATGTAGTAGGGGTCAGACTCGAAGGACAGCCAAAAGTCCGACTCATATTGGTCACACTCTCCGGTTTGGAGAAGGCTGGCTGGACTTCCCCTACTTTGGCCCTTTTGAAATACAGCTCCTCGAAGAACTCCTCCTTGAAGGAAGCAAAGCGAGACTTTTGCAGCTCCACGGTAAGCAGATCCTGTATACTATTGACCGGAATAACTGGTCCATCCGGGATATAGAACTTGGCACTACTCTGACCGCAGGAGTTGGCCCTCACCAGACTCTCGGCCAACTCCTCTGGATGAGCTATGTCCAGGCAATTGCGCATTGCTTTGCCGCCCTTGACACCCTGGGTGGACACTCCTGCTGTGGGTATATCTGCATTTCGATCTATAACTTGTGATTTGTGTACCTTCTTAAACATGTTTTGTGTAGTGTAGTGTTTAAGGTGTGTAGATATGTGTATAAGTGTTTTAGGAACAAACATTTCCTTGAGGTAATTCATTTGACAAATTAGAAAAAGACTAGCAACAGATTTTCAATAGAATAATCATCTTCCTCTTCACAAAAATCGTTGAAATTTTAAATAAATAAATAATTTCTTTAATTGGTCTTGCAAAATGAGTATGTTCACATGTCAAATAATTTATGGCTTAGCACTAGTTCAACTTTAGCTACGTCTTCTAGTCTATTGTACATTGTTCATTGCACTTTTATTTATCTTTCTCTAACTTTCCGCGGCAATGGCATTCTTATTTTTCTCAGTTCAGGGGGTGATTCTTGTGTATCACAAAGTCCCAGGTGTCCTTCCAGCGTAGTTCACGTACCTCATTGGTGGTCATCTTACGCGCTCCATAACTAAAAGGTATAAACTTGACGAAAATGGCCAAAACGGCCAAAAGCCACAAGCCAATGGCCAAGCGATAGCCTCGCACAATGTTGACTCCGCGTCCTGTGCAGATCAACCGAAGCAGATAATCCACATGTTCGATGACAAAGCACAAGAGGAGCAGCTTAAAGACAAAGGCTGGCAAGTAGTTGTGCAGAAAGAGAGTGCGATCCACAAAGAAGTACGGCAGGTAATGCATCAGGTAACCCACAAAGAAGGTGTCTCCAGCAATAAGAAAGCGCTGCCACTCTGATTCCGAGATATCAAAGCACAAACGTCGACGACGTATAGCATAGAAGGCAAGTAATACGGCGTAAAAGAAAAGCGCAGCAGTGGCCGAGTACCAGATGAGCACATTTCCCAGTAGATAAATTTGGGCACTGGACTCTGCGTCCAGCCAGTAGGCAATGCCCTTATCCATCAGCGGCCATTCGTGCGGCATAGAGCTGTACATGTGGGTAGGCACTGTCTTTGATTGGGTCAGCATCTTGGCCTGCAGCTCCAGTAACTTGGCCCAGAAGGTTAGCTGCGTCTTCTCCGTGGGTATCATTTCGGCGGTCATTAGCTGGCGTTCCCGCTCCCGGTGATCCTCAGCTGATAAAGTGGAATTCGATTAAAAAATACTCCTTATATATATTTCACTTTACTCACTCTGCGTATAGCGATGCTCCTCAACATTCCAAATGGTATCCTCCTGACTCTTCTCACGATCCGCCACCACTTCATGCTGATTAAAGCCCCATTCTGGTAATTGGCGACCCGTAAACTTCAGGGCCGCTCCAGTGGTCTCGTGTACAAGCCGGATCTCCGACTTGATGGCATGCCATCTGTTGCCCTCGGTGGCACGATTTAGGATCTCCACACGCCACAGTAGCTCGCCGGCCATTTTGATCTCATAGTCAATGTAACAGCTCACCTCCTGGCATTGTGGGGTCATTGGAGCAGCCACATCATGGGAATTCAGAGCCCTGCTTGTGATTCCATGCACCAACTGAATAACATCCCCGTGCCTTATAACATCTGGCTTGTTTCCCACTACCAGATTCTCCTTGTTGGGTCGTTTCACCAGCCACCAGTTGTTTACATCCTTGAAGGAGTAACAGGTGACCTGCTGCTGGTGCGAGGAGCCTCTCTTGTCCGGGTAACGCACTGGGTATACCGCTGCATGCGAGTGCAGCCAGCAGGTGCGTCCATGGGTGTGACGGAGGGTTATCTGGGATCCATGTACCACAGCCAACGGCTGGCCTCGGGTGATCGAGGCCAGACCGCCTTCCAGCGAAGCCTGAAAAGCGCTTGTCATGATACTGTCGTGTGGCCCTGCCTTGTAAAGTGCCAGGAAATGGGCGTAGAAGACGCCCACGTAAACTGCCAATGGTATGCCAACGAATATGAGTAGGCGACTCAAAGCGTGGAACCACAATTGACGATCTGAAGTAGGAAAAATTAATTAATTATTAAAAATTACATAAAATCCTAAAGAACACGCTGCGTATACGTAATATAAAAGACAGTGTTAAGTATACGCAACGTTGACAAGGAAGTTTTATAGTAAACTCCTCAACTTACTTGTTAATCGTGCATCAAACAGCAACTGCCACAGGTGTCGGCATAACAAATAGAAGGCCAATCCTAAAGCCAGGAAACCAATATACTTGATTGAACCCGCTGCTCCCAAGAGCACAGCTGCAGCCGCTCCACTGAGCACCCACTGAACACTTCCCAGGCGACATCGCTGAAAGCGAAGCAGACAGGCTATGCCCAGTGTGCTGCTCAGCAATAGCATCGATTCCATCAGCACAAAGCGGGATTGGGTCAGTAGTGAGTTATCCAGCACCACGAGCAGACCTCCAATGCCCGATGCCCAACGACTTAGCTTCGCCTCCTGCAGCAGTTTATAGACGGCGGGGGCGAGCAGGCTACCGCATAGAGCCGGTAAAAAACGGAACCAAAATATGGGCATTTGGGGCGAGTAGGGTGCTCCGATCCGGGGGAATGTGTAGTTGCCATCATAGCCAGCCAAGCTGACTAGGCCGGCGATCAGTTGTTTGCCGAGTGGAGGATGTTGGTCAAAAAAGAAAATGTTGCGCATGTACAACGAAATGTACTTCCCGTAATGAAGTTCATCGAAGCTGTGAAAGAAAAATAAATGTTACTCTTTATAAAATTTATTTAAAAAATGTTATATAAGGGGAAATGTATCTGATAATTATGTTAAAATAATATTCTGATGCAGAACTACTAATAGAACCTTATAAGAAGTTTGTATCTTTTTCTAATACCCTAAATTCTTCCTACTTAAACTTATATCATTATAGAAATTTTAAATATTTTAAACTTTTTTTGTATTTTTAATGTCGAAACATAATTTTATTAATTCCATTTGATGATCTTTCAAAACACAAAACAAGTTATTAAATTCAATCCATATTTGTCCCACAAAAGTATTTGCTAAATGTTATCGTCAATCAATATATACTAATTTTAACTCATTTTTAGTCATCATAAGAACTGCGTAAATAGCATTATCTTCAAAATATTATTCTGAAAGCATTAGGGTGCGGTTTAAGGCCAAAGTAAACTTGATCCCATGCCAAACTTGGTTACTGTGGATATTTCTAGTCAGACAAGATCTCGTCTAGCAACTTGATCTTCACGAGTTCCGTGTCTGATTATGATAAGAAATTAGGGAAAGCTGGCTGAGAAGAGTCACATCTGTAGAAAGATGAAATTTACTATTATGATCTCTTAATGGCAAAGAAGATGCATAATAATATTGACCTGTATTTCCAACTGCTTGTGAGAAAGAAATGTTAAGAGTTGAAGAAACTCTTTTCTTCTCTTTACAAAACATTTTAGTTAATAGCCCCATTTCTCTGTTTTTATACCCTGTATACAGGAATTCAAGGGGGTATATGGGATTCTTTAAAATCTTTTTTTATAATATAAACTCTTATCTTGATTCACGTGCAAACAGTTTATATAACTCTTACTACATTAAGTTCACTTTCCTTTCAAATGTTTTTTTTTTTTTTATATTATTATATTCACTTAATGGGTATTTAATAGCGACTACCTTATTATTTTGTTTATACTCACACAATGTGTGGCGGTGTTGCCAACTTGTAGAAACGCGTGCCGAAAGCCAAGAGAAATAGACCCCAACTAAAGAGATCGATGCTCAAGCTAACGGTAAATGGCGGTGTAGCTGCTGTTGTTTTTGTCTCTTTATCAGCTGCTCTGGCTGCTGCAGCAATGCTCTTGTGCTTTTTGTAGGAAGAACGCGAACGAGAAGGTGAACGTGAACGTGAGACCGAGCGCGAACGATCGGTGGTGGGCGAGGGGGAGGCTTGTTTTGGCGTCGGCGTCGGCGTTGGCGTCTGCGATGAATGCCGGCTGACGCTACCGCGCAGCGGCGCATTCAAATGGCAGTTGACGTCGACGCAGCAGTTGAGCAGCGTCAAACCACCGTTACAGCACACTGGTGAAGTTGAGTTTGCAGCTGCTGCTTGCTTTGTTGTTGTTGTTGGCGGTGGTGTTGCTGTCTTTGCCGAGTTTGTTGAACGGCTGCGAAAGTGAAGTCTTTCGTTTGGCTCGCTCAGATCGCTGCCCGGCGCCCATAGTTGTTGCTGTTGCTGCTGCTTCAACTTGGTCGTCTTGCGGCGCTGTGTAATCGTATTGGTGTAGGTGGCAGACATGGCGGCTTCCTCGATGGTGTTTTTATTATTGTTTTAACGTGCGATTTGCTCATCGGTATTTAGCGGGCATTTCTTCCTCGCATTGTTTTTTTCGGCTTCTTCTCTTCACTTTCACATATCAATTAGCGATCGAAAAACATACACAGACAAGCATGAGATAATCAAGCGATAATCAAGAAATCACTTCTTGTTTCTATTGTGTTTTGGTTTTGTTTTTTATTTTCGTTTCGTGGCAGCGCAGACTGCTAAAAAAAAGGTAAAGAAACCAGTTTTGCACTTTCTACAGTTGTTCACTTGTCCGGCCGCTTCCTCTTCCTTTTCTGTCCCTTCTTTGGCGATTTACATTTGCATACAAATGACGGACGGCGGCCAGCTGATGAAGAAAGTTTCGTTGCCGAAATATTCCCACAAATACACTCTCACACACACACACGGATATCGGATATAGTAGCGCTATATCTTTCGTTTTTTAAATCGGCAACCTGCACGGCTAAAGATCTCGCGACGCACTGACACAATGGCTCGCATGGAACCGCGATGGTTCACCTCTGCTGCTGCTGCTGCCTCCGCCGCTGCCAGTGGCGACTGCGCTGCTTGCGCCCGGAATGCGGTCCGGCTGCTGCGATTGGAGCCCTGTCTCTTTCCCTCGTTCTTTCCTCGGGCTCTTCGTCTGCCTTGATTCTTAACCCATTTCCCGTTTTGCCAGCAGAAGAGATGGCCTCAGTGATGCCAGGGGTTTTGAATGGGAAAGTAGCTAGATGAGGTTTATAAAAAGAAACCGAAAGATAAATGTTGATTAAATTTGTTGCGTAATTATATAGGCATTATTGCTATTTGATTAAGTCTTAACAAATAAGCTTGTAATATATGGCGAATACGTAATGTATGCGAATACGTAATATGTGCGAATACGTAATATATATTTCAAATATTGAATTAATTTTTTAATTAAAAAATTCTAGCATTTTAAAAATAAATTATTTTGAATAAGGCAGTTAAATGAATGATCTATTATTTTTTATATTTAATTAAATAACAATGTCAACATTTAAAATTAAAATAAGCTAGATCTTCATCACTACAAATGCATGCAAAAAGATCTCTCCCCTTCACGCTCTCTCTTCGCACCTTCAGCTTCACCTTTTCTCTTTATCTCCGCTGTGTGAGTATGTCGCCAAACGGATTCTGTAATGACAAAGAAAGACAACACCAACAATTAAACACCATTTATTGGCACTGTAAAGAGAAGTTGTTCGGTAGTTAGCGGCTCTGGGGGGACCGCATAAAGCACGCGTCACAGGTGGCGCAGAGATGGGGAACCTGTTCCCTTGATTTACGACCCATTCTTCGGACCTTACACCACCGATGGATGTATGTATGTGCCAGTGTACTCGCGTGACCTATTGGCCTTATTCATGGCATCGTTTTTAGTACTCCTCAGCGCGGCTTGAGACGGTTGTTGTTTGTGTCGATACATGACATCAGGTACTTTTATTCTGCGGCATTAGGTAAACGCTTTTGAACCGGTTTCACATAATAACCCGATTCCTTATCGGCCATAAGTTGGTGTCTTTTTCTTTCGACATTCTATATTTTATAAAGGAACTTGTTTACAAACAAGGAAAATAAGGATTTATATTATTTATAGAGGCTAAGCATTAATATGTAATCTATTTATGGGTTCCAAAAATAGTTTTATATATTTTGGTAGCCAAATATTGTTTTTGAAAAAAGAAATTTTGAATAATTTTCATTTTATTTAAAAGTAATAACAGTGCACTAATAAAAATAACAACTATAACCATAAACAATGTTAATGAGATGAGTTCACAGGGTCAGGTATTAGGGAAGCCAGGTCAGTATCGTATGGGTTCTTTAATAGAATTAACCGCTGCGGTTCTTGCGATTCCTGTTGCGACGGGTCTTCGTGATCTTCTTGGGGCGATGGATCTTCCGCTTGTAGTGGATTACGTGCTTCTTCTTGCCCGGCGAGGAAGAGGATGAGGACTCTGTGGTGGTAGTGGTGCTGTCCGAGGAGGAGGCCGTAGTGGTTGTGGTGGTGTCCGAGGACGAAGAGGCTGCCGTGGTGGTGGTGGTGCCAGAAGAAGTGGCTTCCGTGGTGGTCGTGGAACTGGCCGCACTGGAGAGGCTCACCAGGACACAGGCCAAGGAGGCTAGCAGGAGCAGAGCGCAGGTGAACTTCATGTTAATGGTTTGATAGTTGGATGGGATCAACTGATGCTGTTTTGGATCGAAACTGGCACTATTTATACCTCTCAACGGATCTGGGTTTATCCACAACAGCGTGAGAACCTTTCCTTGTCACAATGCCAGATGATCCATATTGTCTATCCAAACTAACGAAAACCGGGCTAATCAAATAACAATTGGCGAAAAACTATGCCTACCACAAGACAGTTGTTCAAACATTGAAGATATTTATTTTTGGAAGTACAATGTGGCTGGAGCCATGTGGAGGCTATTTTGATGTTTCAGCTGTTGATATTTATACACGAAATTTCTATTATTATTAGAACTTTGCGAATGCAATGTCACAAGGAATAAAATTTAAAAATAAATTTAATTATATTTAGAGAAGCTTTATATTAAATCAAGGCACGCAAAGAAAATAAGTGTACTGTATTAATGCTTAAGTCAGCAGACAGCGATTTTTAAACACAATTTTATATATAGAAACACTACAATATGAACATTTTAAATGTAGTAAAATAGATATATGTATGTTAATAAAAATATATCGTTTATATAATTAACAATGGTTAAGTTTTAGATATTCAAGTATCTTTTTATACCACGCGAAAAACTATAAAGATAATCATTTCAACGTAGAGTCTGGTTAGTCCTATGGCGTTTTTTTTTATTTGCTATAAAATAGGCCTATTAGTTTAGCCTAGTTTTATAGTTAGGCTTGGCGACGTAGATCATCATCTTTCCCACGCTGATATGAATAAGCCCAGTTCAGTGAGGTATTTGCTCAGCCTTTCCTCCCCAGAGGTATAAATAGTGCCTGTTGCGATCCAGAACAGTATCAGTTGATCCCATCCAACTATCAAACCAATAGACATGAAGTACACCTGCGCACTGCTCCTGCTAGCCTCCGTGGCCTGTGTCCTGGTGAGCCTCTCCAGTGCGGCCAGTTCCACGACCACCACGGAAGCCACTTCTTCTGGCACCACCACCACCACGGCAGCCTCTTCGTCCTCGGACACCACCACAACCACTACGGCCTCCTCCTCGGACAGCACCACTACCACCACAGAGGCCTCATCCTCTTCGTCGTCGGGCAAGAAGAAGCACGTAATCCACTACAAGCGGAAGATCCATCGCCCCAATAAGATCACCAAGACCCGTCGCAACAGGAATCGCAAGAATCGCAGTGGTTAAAAAAAACTCTTAAAAAGATTACTGATTCCGACCCGATTTTTCCAATTTTTGACTTTGTGAATAACTCTTTAATAATTATATTTAATATTTATCGTAATTAATGTATAATATATATAAAGCATAAAATGAATAAAAAATTATTTAAAAGAAAGAAAGAAAGTTTACTTTGGGAAGCCAAAATTTGTTTACACTTGCAGCTTGCAATTGGATTAGGAGGCCAAAAATTGATTAATTTTAATTTGGAAAGCTTTTTTTGTGCTTAAAAAGAATACATATATAAAAGAATTTATTTCGACATTACTTAAAATTCTGCAACTACATAACATCTTTATTTTATGTTAAAGCGACTTGCAACTCTCCACTTTTACCCACCTTTCTCTCTGTCTCTACAGAATGTTAATACAGGTCTCCACTGTTGCTAACAGGCTTCTGTTAAGTTAGCCCCCAGAAAAGTCCAATGATAGAGAGAGACAGTTTAAAATCGAGCAAACGAGAGGGCATGAGAGCCGTATAGATAGAGAGCAAAAGTCAGAATCCGGGGGGTTCGAGTCCGAGTTCAACCGAAAGGCGAGGATAAAGCGGGAGAGGAGTTCAGGGGGGTGTCGCTCTGTGGTTTGGGGGAGTGTCTGCTGCTCCACTGCAGCTTGGCGCCCTCGGAGTGCAGGACGATGACGACCGAGCAGACCCAGGGACCGACCCCACCCAAGGATCCGCCAGTTGAGCGGGGAGGAAATCTGCCTACAGCCGGGGTCCTTGCAACTGCAACAATAAACGGGGCTGAGATGCGGCAAGGCTGCTGCTCTGCTGGCGGCGGATTGGTTGCCGGGCTTAGCGGTGTGGCTGTGAGTCCTTCTGCCGAGCACCCACCCACACCATGGCTATTCCACACCCTTCCCCAGAGCTCGCCTCGCGGCCTGCACAAGTGCAAGGATTGCGTCGCCACTGTTTGGCTTTTGCAGGGAGAAAAAAAACTAGGGAATAAAATGGGGAAGTTTAAAATGAAAAATGAAAATAAAAATAATTTAGGAAAATTTCTTCTAAAAGTTTTTCTTATTTTTTGAAAGCCTCTAAAATTTCTGGAAACCTCTAAAATTTTCTATGAGTGTCTACGGATTTCTGATATTATTTTTTTTCAGTGTTTAGTTGTTCCTGCTTCCTGCTTCCTCCCGCTATTTCTGTTTCGGTTTCTGTGCCTGCATCGTTGCAGCATCGCTGTTGCTGTTGTGTCTCGCTTCCGCCGGCTGGAAAGGGATTGGAATGAGATGGAAAGGGGATGGAAAGGGGCTGGAATGGGTTGGCTCGTGGGGGCTCGTTCGTTGATTGGGTGGGGGATGGTGGTGGTTAGGTGTACGGATGGACTGAGGGTGGCTGGTGTGCCTGCCTGCCTGACTGCCGTGTGCCACTTTGGCCATGTTCGTGGCCGTGGCCGTGGCCTCGACTCATGCGCTCGTTCTCATTTCTCCCTGCAGCTTCACAATTCAACTCCAGCCAAGGCCAAGCCGGCAGAGGACGACGACGTCGCCGGCGATAATGTGGCACAATGACATTGCCATTGAACTAGGTCGAGGACGTGTTCCCTTTTGGCCACCGTCACCGCTGCCGTTTGTTTGGTTAATGTTTGCCTCCATCTTGGTTGCCTGTTTCTCGTGGGTGGGTGGTGGCGGGATTTGGTGCCAGTGGCCGTGGTTTAAGTTGAGGTTGAGGTGCTGCTACCAAACGGGCTTCTGTCTTCCGTGGAGAAATGTGCGAAATGTGACTGTGGCACATGCAGAGATGGAGGATGGTATGGTATTGTTATGGAGTGGAATAAGCGGTTATTAACTTGGTTAATAAGATTTCAGATTTGATTGGAACTTGTTTATATTAATTCTTGTTTCTTAAAGTAAAATAACATTTAGGGAAATAAAATTTGCCATTTTCAGGAAAGGCTTCGAGGGAGGACCTGCACTTTGAAAGCTAAAATAGTCGTTTTTAAGACTTTAGAGACTTTAATTATGCTAAAATATATACAAAAAAATGTTAAGTAACGTTTTCCAGATTTTTTTTAAATTTGATAGGAGTTAAACAACTAATTTTATTTAAGGGAACTACAGAAATATAGCATATTTAATCCCTTCATTTAGGAAAGTTGACTTCTAGCTTTTTCCTAGAATTAATCCTGAACTATTTCTTTATATTTTGTATAGGAATTAATTTTATATTATTTTTGTTATTCATCATATAATTTGTATATTAAATATAGTGTTTTTTAATTATTTATAATTTTATTTAACTAAAACGCATCCCTAAAACTTTTCTACCAACTAAGAAACATAAAATATTAGTATAATTCCTCTCCTTCCTATCAGTTTTTTTAGAAGAATTAACAAATCAATACTTAAGCAACAATTTAATTGAAAATATAACTTCACTAAATCAATGAAGATTTATTCATTATTTATTTAATTAAAAATGCATTGATGACATCTAAGAAGTGATTTCCTAATCATCATTTTTCCCTTTGAGCAACTCAATTCAGCATCTTTTGGTCGTGCAGAAAGATAATGGCATTAGGCTCAATTGCCAACCAAATGTGGCCAAGGATTAATGGAATTTTGCCAAAAATAAAGCCCACAAAGATGACTGGCAATCAATTAAAATGCATAGACTGCAGTCAGAGAGTCTAATGAAAGCTTTCATTCTTCTTCGACGATGTCCAGACATCCATCCAGTTTCATCTGCTGTCTGTTCCCTGGGAATCGAGTGTCGGGGGGTGGCGACTACTATTATGGATGTGTCTGCGCTTTGTCTAAGTTCTTGTTTTTGGTTTGGGAAACGAGTTTTATTTATTTTAATTTAAATGAAATTTATTTTATACACACACATACGCCCCACACAAATGCTGTGTTTTTTTTGAACGGCTAGTCAAAAGCTAAGGGTTGATTTTGTACATTTTATATATGCACATGGATTATGCACCCACACACACACACACATACGCACCCACGTTTGAGCCACACTTTTGTATTTATATGTACATTCAGGTGGACCTTTGTGAGTTTAAATTAGAAAATATTTCACTTTTTAAGAGGAAAAGTTATATTGAACTTAACAAAAATGGTTTAAAATTACTCATACGCCAGGTGTGACGGGTAAAAGTTTTTAGGATTATTTTCTTATGATATTTGTTAAAGATTTTAAGAGAGTCTACGCTTTTTAAACTAGTATTCTTATTAATAAGGCATTTTAAAAAGTTATTGAATGAAATAGCATAATAATCACGTATACGCCAGGTATGACAGACTATTTTCTTTGAAAAAGTGTAAACTTCTGACAACATCTATTAAAAATATTATAAAATTATTCTTAAAACATTAAGTAATTAGTATTAGGTTCTTAATTAAAATATATTTTGTATAAGATGTTTAACAAATTTATTAAAAATAATAACATATCATTTAAAAATTATGGAAAACTTGTTAAAGATTTTCGGAAGATTTTCAAATAGTATTTTTGTCTAATTTTATTAAAGATCTTCTGGTTTTCTAATAGTTCTTATATTAATATTAATTTAATATTAATAATAATAATATAATAAATTATTTAGTTCAAATACTTCCCCTTAATACCCGGTCCACCCTAATAGACATATTCCATATAGAAAATGCAACTAAAATGTTTCACATGCAGTTTGTTTTTGCTGTTTTATGGCCAGTGTCTGGCCTGCATGCAGCACCCACATGCATCCTTTACTCAACCCACTCTCCCCACTCCCCCTTGCCACCGAATGGCCTTTGCGGCAGACGAGAGACTGCAGTTGCAGTTGTTGCAACAACATTTGTTGCTGTTGTTGTTGCTGCCTGCAGTCTGGCAAAATTTTTGCCATTTGATTGCATTTTCCTGGGCGGCGTTTTTGTGTGTAGAGCAGAGTTTGTTGCACTTCGCCATGAAGTTAGGTAGGTGATGCCAGCACACACACGCACACACACGCACACACTCGATGCAGAAAAACGCAGTCATACACACACACACACTGACAAATCCGGATAGGCCTTAGGATACTACAATACTTCTACATACGAATTTGCACAGGACATACAAACAATTGCAGTTGTGTCTGTGCGTTTATGTAAAAGTGTTTTTTTTATTATATAAATCTCTATACATATTTTATAATATATGTATACATAAAATGCCCATTTTTTAGTTTGGTTTTGCTTGCAGTCGTCTGCTAAAAATAATAACAAAATGGCCGGCCGGCCTGCTTGCCTGCCTGCCGGTACAGTTGTGCGCAAAACATCTCCTTTGGCTTTGGTTTTATAAATATATATGCATCTAGCAATCAGGACTTTGAACAAGTAACATACATTTGGGACAGCTTCAGACTTAGGGGGTTTGTAGCCTATTCCCAAGGAGGTGGCAGACACCAAGAACACCAAGGAACCCCTATGGGGTGCCTCTATTCCCTAGGCTTCTAAGTACAGTCAAACTTCTGTAGGTAAAACTATAACTGGGAAAATATTATAATCTAATCTTTAAGCTTAGCTTGTAGTACTTGTAGTTTTATTAAAGATGTTTCTTATTTGTAGAAACTAGTTAAGATATTTAACTCCACATAAAAAACTAAACTATAACTAAATATTAAAACAAAGCCTAGAAAAACCTTTATTTCAACAGAATTTAAAACCCTAGAGATCCCTTAAACCCCTTTTATACAGATTTCAAAGGTGTTTACTCAAGTATTTTAACTGTAACCTAACAAGAGCCCCAAAACTGTGAATGCTTTTTTACGCGTAACACACAAACACATACCTAACAGGGGGACATACGAAACCGTATGGACCGCAGGGCGTATGAGTTCTCCTGTAGGAGTCCCTCTGCCTTTCTGCCAACAACTAACAACTCCCCACATTCGGCCAACAGCCGAGTGGTTTGTTTAGAATTTTAGATTTTAGCGCGTTTTAGAATTTTATGAATGAATTTTTGGCGCTCGGCAGAGCACCCCATCTGTAGGGGGGCCATGGTCCCTCTACCTACCAACCAACCAACCAAAAAGTCCCGTCCACTCCGATTCGTTTGGCTCGGATTCACTTTTAGTTTTTGGTTAGTTTTCGGTTCCCCATTTTGCTCTATTCGGAGGGGTGTCGGTTGTGACCTTGCTGGGGTGTTCCGGTGTTGTTTAGATTTAGTTTCTATTGGGCTGCACTTCAGTTGGTCAATTTTTGCAGTTGGCACAAATCTGTACAGACACAAACACATGTGGACAAGTGCCCGTAGCCCTTAGACAAAAGTCGGTCCTGTGCCCCTGTTTTTTTTTTTTTATTATTTCTTTGCACATAAAGGTATTGATTTTATGGAAATTGTCTGGAAATCGAGACTTTAAAATGATTGTAAAATATTAGGAGGTTTGTTTTATGAACAATAACACTTGCCGTGAGTTAATAGAATTTAAAATTTTGAATTAAATTGCGAATAAAGTGAGCTACTACTTAATAGAAGATAAATTAGAAAAAAATTAATAAAAATTATAATAATAATAAAAATACTTTAAATAATTTAGAAAAAGTGATTTTCTGTTCTGTGCTTAAACTAATAATTTCTTAAACAATTAAAGAATAAACTAAGAGCAGCAAGCCATTAAATAAAGATTTGTAAAAAATATATAAATTGCAATCAAAAAGTGATTCTGGGAATTTCCTAGAATTTTTTACACAATAATAGCAATTTAGCTTTCACTATGATATATTTTTTTTGTTAAAGAACACTTAAAATTTAATTAGTTGAATGTTTCTTAAATTAACAGAATTTTAGTGCATCTAAAAACATACAAAAACATTGATTAAAGGAAACCATTTAAAAAGAAACCTCTATTTATCTCAAAAAGATGCATCTGCAATGCAGTTTCTTAAGAAAACCCTATCTCACATCATGATAAAAATAAATCAAACAGAAATTTATATATTCTCCTGCCCTCATATTTATATATTTTCCCCAGTACATATGTATATGATTCACACTAAAGTTCAGCTTTTGACCCCACCATAACCCTTCCTAAAATTGAAATAAACAAACGAAATGATTTGTGTGCCCGCCCTTTAAGCTAAACAAAGAGTGCTTTTGCCTGCACATGCATATAAATCACATAAGTACATAGCTGCAGTTGTGTAAACTTCTTATATACTGCAGTATTTTAATGGGTTTTATTAGAATCTCCAATGCTGGGGGGCATAAAAATGCCTATTAAAAAGTGCGTTTGAAAAAAACTGTTGCATACCTGACGGCGCGCGCTCAAATTAACTAACAGGACATCGGCAAAATGCAATGAAACGAAGAGAGCGTGAATGAGAGAGAGCAATATGGTTGAGCTATGGACACGAGAGAACACAGCATCCTAGTGCAAGAGAGAGAGAGAGAAAGCCGAAGCGTGAAGAGAGTGAGGTATTTGCCGGCGAGAGAACAAACACAAAAGCGAAAGCGAGGCGCCGGTATAGGTGCTGCGAGAGAGGGTGGAGTACATATGTATATGTATATTCATTCGTGTTCGTATGTGTGTGCGTGTGTAAGCTTGTCGCATTGTCGGCAATTTAAAGAGTAAATAATTGTCTGCCGCCGGCAAACATTTGGCCAAACTGCTAGTCCTTCCACACACAGCCTGCCTGAGTGCCGCTGTATTGGTATATCGCCTGTTTCGGCCGAGTATCGGCTCTTCGTCACCAAACTCTACACAATTTTAGGCGCCGGACGAACGCACTTTCAATCAGTTAACTTTATAACGCCAGCGCCGACACTACGTCATCCGGTTGAATCGCATTGCCTTGTCTCGCCTCGCCTCGCATCGAATTGTATTGAATCCCCCAAAACACAGACACACACCAACACACTCGATTTTGTACTTGTATTTGTTGCCGCGCTGCGAATTTCGTCGCGTTTTTACTTTCACGCGGCTTAACGTCAACAGTTTAGCAAGAAAACGTGTCTTCCCACTAAAGTGTCTCTAAAGTGTGTCTTCATTGTGTGTTTTTCCTTAAAAAATAAAGAAAAACACAGAGCTGGAAAATGTGAAAACACTGCCAGAGTAATTGAAAAACCAGTGAGTACACATAGTCGCTTTTGGGTACATGCAAATTAGTGAAGCAATTAGTGCTATTGTGAGTGACGCCCAGAAGTATGCAATATGCAGAGGGATTTTTGTTTTAATTCTTATAACAATATCAAAAATTAAATGGCAATATTTTTAATATTAATAATTAAATAAGAATAATTTAATATTAATAATTCAACAAATAACAGAAATGAAAAAAGGCTTTTGTACCTATTTATTATAATGTCTAATGTGGTTTGACTTTGAAATTAATAAAATTAAATTTTTAAGGAATAATTTTCAAAATAATTGATAAAATTTTATTTATAAAATATCTCCCTTAATTAGAAGAATTATTATAATAATAATAATAATAATAATAATTAATGGAATTTCATGTGATAAATCGTAAAATGTCGTCTTTAAAAGAACTCTTGAAAAAAAGTAACTATTAAATTTTTAATTTAATATTTTCAAGTCTGTATTTAATCTTTAAATAAAATTACAATATTTCCTTTTAACTTCGCAAGTCACCAATTGTGAAAAGCTAGCGACTTTAACTTTATCTTTACTTTAACTTTAATTAATTTGTTAAATGTTAATCAAAATAATAAAATTGTATGTAAAAATGTTTAGCTTCTAATATTTAATTGATAATTTTTAATATAATTTAATTTCCTTTAGACTTTTCTAATTAAAATTACTTCACAGGGGTTTTAAGTTTTAAGATAACTAAAATCACTTTAAAGGAGTTTATATTTTAAGGCAACTAAAAATATTTAAAAAGAATTTTAAACTATTATTTGATATAAGAATTATTTTTGAAAAAAAAACTTTCAATTTATTTTTCTTTATCTAAGACGCTAAACACAAAGTTAATAAATATTTCTCCCAAGGATAATTCATAAAAAGTTTTACTAGTTTTTCAAAATTTCACCAACAAAGTAAAAGATTTCTCCTAAAATTACTAAAGCCACAAGCCCTCTTGATTCACACACAATTGGGCAATAAATCAGCCATTTAATGTGCCTGCATTGCAATGTAGTCTCCGGCGGCGCAACGTCATCGACATCATGTGACCGCGTTTCCGAATTTCCCCCGAAAACTCTTGTGTACGTGCGTTGTGGTGGGTGTCGGGCCCCGAAATACAAAACACGGAATACAGAAAACAGGATACAGAATGCACAGACGACGACGACGGGGGGTCATGGCCACGGCCACGGCCACGAATATGGCATTTCGGCGACTCCGGCTGCGGAATACGGCTACGGCTCCGGCTGCAAACTCCGGCTCTGCCGTGCGTCGCAGTTTCACTTTCACGACGCACACACACACAGCTGCGAGGGCTGTGTGCAAATCTGTGGGCAATTGTGGGTGTCCTGCGAGTAGTTGCGGGCGCGACTTGCACTCAGCCTCACAGTTTGTCTTTGCCGAATTGGCGGGGCGGACACGATTACGGCCCACTAGAACTGCCAATGACAATGATGTCGTGGTCGCACAGTGGCTGGAAAATAATTTTAAAGTGGCCTGAAATGTCTAAGGATACTTTTAAATTGTTATAAAATCAGAAAAGATTTTACTATTGTTTTAAAATCCGTTTAAAAGTCAGCCAAAATGAGACTTTATATAGAAAAATGTTGGGAATTATATTTAAACACATGGGAGATTTATAACACTACATTTTTTAGGGAAAATTCACCAAGGTTTTTATGAAAAATTTACCAGCAAAACAAGTTAAGTTTCCCCTTATATTAAGAAAGGATTTATAGATATAAAACACCCAAAAATTTAGGAAAAATAAAAAACAATCATTTATACCAAAACCCCCAAAATTGCAACCATAAAAAGCCAATTGCGGCCAGGGTTCAAAGCCTTTGTCTGCCACTTGTAACACATTCTGCTGCATCCGAGGACGAGGATGTGTCTGGGCGTGGAAAGGACTGGGAATTGACCGGCAAAGTGCGGCCAAATGCGCCGACTTTACTGCATCCTCCCTACTTCCACCCTCCACGTTCGCCGCTGCAACCATCACGACCACGACGATGGTGATGGTGATGCAATGCCTGGAAAGCCACCGAGGTGGCCACGCACACACAAAAGCCGCGACGATACACGAGCACAAGAGGCAGGCGGCTGGCCTCACATGCGCACAGGAGAGTTGCACTTGCCCAGCACTGCCTTCCGCCTGCTGCCTCCCGCCTCCTTTAACCATTCTGGCCACCCGCCATTTGGCCACCTTCTGGCGTCGACACTCTCACTCTCCGATTCAGGAGTGTGATAGTCCTCGGTGTTTACTCGCAATGGATGGATTGCAATACACTCGGGGAAATTTAACTTAAACAAATTGAGCCCTAAATTCATGGAAGCTATTCTTAATTGTAGAAAAGTGTTCTTAGTTTTAGGAACATTTTTTAATACATAAAAATATATATTTTATAGGGTACCTTGTATCTTAAAAATATTAAAAATTAAATTATGTATAATGATTAAAGGTTAAAGCTACTTCCATTTTCTCCCTGTGCAGGATTGAGTGCACTTTTCTCTGTGCTTCTGAAGAGGAGCTGCCTGGGTATGGGCGTTATTGTGGGCCTGGGGAAGCCGGCCGGCCTTTTGCTGTGGGTAGGCCGTTTGCCGGAAGCATCGCTACGTCATCGCCATCGCCATCGTCATCGTCGCCACCGTGCCGGAATTCGTGTGCGTGGCCTGATTTCGTCGATTGGCCTTGTGTGTGCGGGTTTCAGTGTCAGGAGCGCAGCAGCATCTTTGTTTTGGTTGCAATTGTTGTTGTTGCTGCTACTGCTGCTGCCCGACTTGGCCTGCATATATGCAAGTTAAACGAACCCCTGTGAAGTCTGGGGGATGAGTGGGGAGACAAGTGCTATATGCGGGAGATGTACCCCTGTTTGACTTGGAGGGAACACGTGTGCTTTTGATGTGTTTGGAGGAAGTAAATGGAAAGGAAAATGGGTTTCAAAATTACTTCTACTTCGTCCTGTTTTAAACGTGGCGTATACGTAATATTCAAGAATTAATATTGCGTATACGTAATATAAAAATTTATTATAACGTATACGTAATATTATTTTGGTAAACAGGGTATTAAAAGGTTGATAAGTATTTTGTAGATTTTTTTATATTTTATTTATATTTTATTTATTTTCAATTTAAAACATTTTTATCGCATTAAACAATTATATCAAGTCACTTAATGACATTCGCTGCGGCTTAAATGTATCAGTATCGTAAAGTCACTTTACCTAAGACTTTATTGCCGCAATGTATACTTCTCTAGTAGTTTTGTGTGCTTTTCTACTAGGTTTCTTTTCTTATACAAACTCTTCAAAGGTTAATAATTTAGTCTGCTTAAATGTAAACTGAAAACCTTAGCAAATCCTAGATTTCAGATGACGTTTACCAGGTGATGGGCGTTGACTGCCCGCCCAATGAGATTGTCAGCTGTACCATCATTAAATGTCCTGCCGGCAGGGCATGCCCAGCCGCAAAATTTTGCTTTGATCCTGAATGTGTTTGCCGTCAAGGATTTCGTCGGATTAAAGGTGTCTGTATGCCAAAGCATAAGTCTTTGGGTCTGAGCAAAGCTAATTTAGAATCGTCTTTGCTGGAGATTCCTTATAGAGAGGAGTTTTAATGGTATTTAGTTGTATTAATGGTGCCAGAAACATGGTCTGGCATAAATGTAATTTATATATATAAGGTTTATAAGTTTATAGGATCAAAAATATAGCTTAAATTAAATTTAAATAAAAAATTCTAAGATTATAACCTAATTATACATACAATTTACTATTTTCTACCTTGAAATACATTTATATTTATAAAGATTTAAATACCAAATTATAACTCCAAAGTAAATGCTAATCGATTGCCCAGACCCTGATCATGGCTCTTTGCCTTTCTATCGATAAACACTTGGCTATATAAAGCCCGTCCATAAATATATTTTGCCAAAATGCTTTTTCAAAATGGCAAACGGAATGTTTTTGCCCACACAAGAGAGCGGCGGCACTCGCACTCTCTCCCTCTCTCGATAGCGGTTGAGCTCTCCTTTTATTCTCTCACAAGCACACAAGCATAGTTAGACCAACTAATACCACCAAGGTTAGGGGAGAGCCGAAGCTCCTGTCTCGTGCCGGCGAAGTACAAGAGCCGGAGCACAATGCGGAGCGGACGGGTCCGGGTCGGGTCAGTAGTGAAGCTACGCCACACGCCGCCAGGTGGCCTCCAGTTGTGGATGCGGCGGGTGTTATTCGCATGTGCATGTGCATGTGCACCGCAGACACATTGAACGGTAGTGGTTCCCCCTTCCCTCCCCCGCCAGCAAATACCCCACACAATACACACACTTTTTGTTATTTTTTTTTTGTTGGCCGCGGAGGAGGTGACCTCCAGAATGGGCTGTGCGGCAGCAGCAAATGCAATTGGCTGCACTTTTCCTTTGTGGGGCCCGCGCCTTTGCGTTTTATTGTGTCACGGATTCGCGCGCAGAAGTGTTTTCCAAGTGAAAGTTGATTCATCTGACAGAGTCACGCAAAGACTCGTTCAAAATTAAGCAAATAAATATTTAAATAAAATAATAAAAATAACAACTATAATAATATATTAATAATTATTATAATATAATATGTTTGCTCAATTAAAAAGGACACTGTATCCGGTTCTTAGTGAAAATCGATATGGCGCAGTCTTGTGCTCTTGCCACTTACAAGTCAGTTTAGATTGTCCCACGCTGCGTATGAGTTATATTTGTTATTTGCGTTTATTTTCCGCTTTTCTTGGCTTTAATTCAATATTTTTTTTTCGTGATACACACACTTGCGGTTTGGGTCAGCCCTAACCTAATCTTAATGTACCGACACACTAAATCGAGATATAGAAGGAATCCTTCGAATGAACCTCCTGCCCTTCCCTCTGTGTGTGTTTTTATGGCGCCCACCCTTGGCCCTTCTTCGTTCCTTCTCTCTTGCTCTCATTACAGCCCAGAGCGCAGGATTCGCGCTCTTTTTTATCGTCACCTCTACAAATGCATCGCGGGTGGTGTTGTTGTTATTGTTGTTATTATTGGTGTTGTGTGTGTTTTGCTGGCTGGTGGTGTGTTTAGATTTCATCCTGCGGGTGGGCGGTAGTGTGTGTGTGTGCATAGGATTCGGCAAGTCAGCTAAAATAACGACAACAAACACGGCGCTATTTTCACTTTCTATTCAAAGGACTTTCAAGCTTAAATAATGTTCTATATATGTTAAAAAAAAACCATTAATATAAAAGAACTGACTTAAAATGAACTTTTTTATCCCCCATTTACAGTTGCCTGATTCTCAACGCCCAGGATCCCTTAAGATCCCCCAAAATCTTCCCTCGAGCTGAGCCACGTACCCACCATGAACTTCACTCCATTTGGCAACACTTTCCCTGGGAATATACCCGGCCTGCCGCAATTCACTACCAGCACAGCGCCCTTGGTTTCCACGGTTACAGCTGCCGTGGCGGATGTGACGGTGACCACCACCAATAACCCACAGCAACAGCAGCAGCAGCAGGATGCTGCCGGCACTAGCAATCGCTACCAGCAGCAACAGCAACAGGTCACACACTTTGGCCAGGCCAATTTGGCCACCGGTCAGAGTGGCAGCGGGAATAACAAATTCCGCGGTGGCCAGGAGGATGCACTACAGGGTGACAAGTACAATGGGCACTTGGTGGCTGCCTCCCAGCAGCAGCAACAGCAACAGCAGCAGCAACAGCAGACGCAGTATGCCACGGTGGCTTATGCCAGTGCCACCACAACAAGCGCAGCAGCAGATGCACTGCAAGCAAGCACTTCCGGCCAGCAACAACAGCAACAGCAGCAGCAGATGCAGCAGCAACAAGTGACGGCGCCACAGGAACTCACCCAAGATCTGTGCAATGCCATTCTGCAGCAACAAGGTGGGTTAGGGGATTGAAGATATTCTCTAAGGATATGAAATCAATATATAAAGTTAACTTTAATTTATTAATTTTACCAGTACTCCAAAATACCTCTTGGCAAACACTGACGCCGGGCACCACCGTGGCCGACTACCTCTCGCATCTTCCAGCCAACACATTGCCCCTGTCGCTGCATCACTTCCTCAAGTATTCCGCGGAAACGATAAAAAAGGAGAATCAGCAAAATGTGGTAAGTTTTTTAAAAACTTGTAAAGATATTTAAAAATTTCCTAATAAATTATTCTCCCCCAGGTACTTCAGGTGCAGACGGGACCAGCCATAGGCATCAATACCCTTGGCACCACAACCATTAGTATACCTCAGCAGGAGCAGTTGACGCTGCAGCCGCAGCAGCAAACGACCACCTTGCAGGTGCAGCAGGCCCAGGCGGCGGTCACGGCCACAGCGACGACGGTTACAGCGGCAACTGGAGCCGGAGCCAGTGGCAGTTCCTCCAAGAAAAAGAAGCGCAAAAAGCGTAGCAAGGATCGAAAACCCAAGCTGCGACCTGGAGAGATTCGTTTGGGAACAGCGCTCGATGGCAGCCCCTTGTACATGTGCCCCGAATGTCATGTGGCTTACCCAGAGCCGGAGCTTCTCGAAGTCCATCTGGTGGGTCACAACCTGGAAAAGCGGTATGTCTGCGATATATGCCAGGCATCCCTGAAGCGCAAGGATCACCTCACCCGCCACAAGCAATCGCATAATCCGGATCGACCCTACATCTGCACCGTCTGCCTGAAGGCCTTCAAGCGGAAGGAGCAGCTGAGCCTGCACTTTGTGATTCATTCCGGGGAGAAGCGGCATCAGTGTGCCGAGTGTGGCAAGGGTTTCTATCGCAAGGATCACTTAAGAAAACATACACGCTCGCATATAGCCAGGAGGGTCAAGGCGGAGCTTAACAGTCATGTTCGTAGGGAGAATGGCACTAGCATGCTGCAACCAGTGGTTACGGAGGCCACCACGGCAGCCTTGCAACATGCCAATCAATTAGCCAGCCAACAGCAACAGTTGCAACAGCAGCAACAGCAACAACAACAGCAGCAGCAACAACAGCAGCAACAGCAACAACAACAGCAGCATCACATAGTGATCACCCAGCAACAGGCACCGCAGCAGCAACAGCAGACATCGCAGCAGCAGCAGCAACAGCAGCAAATGATAAATTAGCCAAATGATTTTTGTAAAGTCAGTTAAAGCAAAATTCTATTTAGCCTAAGCCAAGTTTTAGGACTTGGCTGCTCCTAAAAAAAAAAATACTTTCTCTCGGCCCACACAAACTTAATTGACTCTCACAAAATCGGATAATGCAAACAGAAGGATGTTATGTTAGCTAATGTCTTCAGGGATAATCTTAAATAGATTATTCCAAAAACAGTGTACAATATTAAAAGTAAGATCAAGATGATCAAGGGGACAAGTTTTGAGACCATTTTGAACATTTAAGATTTTTTTAAAAACAATAGAAACTCCATTACCTAATTTTTTTTAGAATAATTTAACCCTTTAAAAATATGGATAAATTGATGTAATCCTTAAACTATCTTTAGTTTAATTTCCATATTTTTTATATTTAACTTAAAATTAAATTCCAATAGTTAATTACCAAACCCTAGAAGTGGATTTATCCGCCCCCCAAAAACATTCCATAATCTAATTTAAGAGAAATATGTGCAAAGAAATAATAATAATTTTATACGCAATGTATTTTAGTGAAATGTATTTTTGTACACAATTAGAATCAATGTTGTATGTATTGTATGTATATGTATGCCTGTACAAACACCTGTACGAATACATGAAACTGTTCCACTGGCAGCGAACCACTAAATATATATTTATAAATATATAAAAAATATGTAAACAAATGCAATTTAGATTTAAACTTACTTGTAGGAAGGAGATTCAAAAAAATTGTGAATGTATTTATATAACTTTTTGCTACACAGATAAACCATTGTATATATTGTATGCAGATAAATAATATAATTTGATCTAAAAAAAACAATGGATTTTATTTTATTTTATAGATAAAACTCCCCATAATAAATAATTTTTTTTATTTTCTGTGATTATTTAGTTTTGCTTTATTTAAGAGTACTCATAAATTACGATTATTATGCACCATTTATTGTATTTAATTAAATAATTAATCATTAGCATTATCCGTATCGTGTATGTGTGTGTGTGTGTGTGTATGCCGATTCTTTAGTTTATTTAATTTTTAGTTCATTTGCTGTCGCTTACTAACTTTTAACTTTATAATTTAAGCTTTACAAAATAGCAATTAATTGTAAGTTGGAAAAGGAACGTGACATTTATTCATGGTATAAAAGCGGACCAGATCGACCTCTTTTTATCAAAAATTTGTGCTCAAAATCAGCAAATTCATTAATGAACCTTTCTTGGATTTCTTATTACAAAATATATGATCATATATATATATATATACATAGACATACATATATATAGGATAAGTGTATGTGAGAGTGTAAAGACTGCTTAGGTTGCACTTTTGCTTTTAACAGCATTTCAAGATCGTCGATAATTTCTGCGTTTAGTTCAAGTTGTTTTTTTCTGTTAATTTTTGTTGTTTTGTTTTTTTTTTGGTAAGTTTTGTGTTTCGTTTTCGTTGCGAAAAAGAACTTTTAAATCACTGTACAAAGAAGAAGACGCGGCAGCCTACGGTCCAGAGAGATACTTGCGCTTCTGGTCCTCCATATAGTCGCGTGTGGACATCTGGATGGCCTGCTGCAGCATCTCGCTTTCGTTGACGCCTGTAAAGGGAAGTTTAGAAATGATTTTCTTTCAAAATCTGAATTATTTCCCACCTTCATTGGCATAGGAAGCCTCAAGAAGTTCTTGGTAAAAGCTAGAGTAGTTTTTCTGGCTGGACGACTGGCCTTCGCCGCGCTTTTGTGGCGAAATGGAAGACTGTTTCGAAGTGCAGGGACGCTGCTCAGCATCCGGCGTATTCGCGCGAGCCACTGAAGGAGCAGAGTCGCGCTTTGGGCTCTTACGCAAAGGTGCCTCCAAAATATCCGAGCTGTTAAAAATAGAAAAACAAGAGTAAAAGAAGCTAAGAACAAGGTATACCAATCCCTAACTCACCTTTTCCCAGCCAAAGGCACCACTTCGCGAGTCTCATGGCGTCGCTTCTTTCTAAGAGCCGTAGCCCGCCGCTGCGTCTTTGATCCCTTGCCCGCACGCTGAGCTGTTGAGACTGTGCTAGGCGATGAATTCCCACCGCAGTGACCCACCGAACTTGTGCTACTCATATCAGTGGTATCACTGTCATAACCAGCCATATCATCCGTTGTCAACTTGTGAGAAAACTGGCTCAACGTTTTGGGCGACAGCGAAAATCCTGCAGCTGAGGGATCCACAGCACCACTGGCACTGGTCAAGGTGGCCGCCGGATTGCCACTGCTGCCTGTGCCTCCGCACATCGAGTACTTGGAGGGCGAGGCATCGGAATCGGTGAGCGCCTCTGCAGAAGTAACCGTTGACGATGTGGCCGAACCAGCGGCCGTGTTGCTATTACGCGAACGTTGCATATTGTCGCGGCACCACTGCAGGTAGGATTCCCGAGCTATTTGCTCCTCGATGGCCTCGTTGGTGGCCTCCCAGTCCGTTGTCTTTAGCTTGTCCTCGAACATGGTCTGTTCAATTTCCAGCTGCTCGCTGAGACGCACTGCCTCAGCGGTCTGAAACTCGGGCTTGTAACCAGCCAAGCCCAAGCCAACCCCAACAGTGGCGTTATAGGGATCCAAAATGGCATTGTAGTGGGAGCCGCGCTGATAGGAGAGGCGCAAGGGAGGGTAACCAGCCTGCGACTGTTCCGAGTTGAAGATGTTTATGGGAGCTGCAAGAGGGATGAAAAGATGAGTAAATATAGGGATATTTCTTTAGATTTCCTTTTAAACTCACTCGACTGGTAGCAGTAGACCTCAACGGTGCGACTGTATATCTCAGATATGGCCTGGATTTCGATGTGGTTGCCATGGGCATCACGAGCTCGCTTGCGCTGGATGTAGCTGTTGATATCCTCGGTGACAAACTGGCCAAAGTACTCGCGATTCTCATGCTGCAAGAGGGAATATATTTCTTGTTAATCCAAATATTTCAATACCTTCCAAATCCTTACAATATAATCCATGGTGTGCTGGCGTATCACATCGTGCATCTCCTCATCGCCGTAAATTTGCAGGGAAATGGAGCGGAACAGGCAGGCGCCGTCCTCTTCCACGGGCTTCAGTTCGTAGCCACGCTGCTCCATGCACTTGGCAAACTCCACATCGCGACGCTGCCACTCCTCTGCTGGAATCTTGCGCTCCTTGGGCTGAAGGTGTTCATCCCCGCTGTTATAGCCCGAAAAGGTCTCTTCAGCTGATTTCAGTAGATTGGCAGTTGCCACTGTTGCCGGCGATAGCTGACCCTGAGCCTTGGGAACTGTGGAGCAGCCTAGGCCCAGATGTTCGGGTGAGTTTCTGCCCACCACGGAGGGACTGCTGCTGCCGCTCGATGTGGAAGCCAAAGGTGGGCTATTGCATTTGCTGCCAGGCACGCCAACAGAGGCTCCAACGCTGCCAGCCACCACGGCGGGATGGTTGAGTTTCTCGCGTTCAAGGCGATCGCGTTTGTGGTGATGAGCATGACTGTCATGGTGGTCACGGCGTTTTGAACGGGCGTTGCTGAAAATTATAAAAGATATAAAATATGTCAAGTTAGCTGAAGAAATCAAAACCCTTTAAAATGGGTAATAAATCATTTTTCTCTTTAGGAGTCTCCATTTTAAGTTGTGAACAATAGAAAACTACCACAAACCAAAGGCAACGAAGTTAATTTACTGCGCAAAAAGCGGAACCAAATGAGCCTTTCTTTAAGAAGTAAGGTTTACTATGGCGTTGCAGGAGTGTGGCCCCCTTTGAATTGCTTTGTAATATATACAAGTTATGCACTAGAAATGCTATTTAATTGCTTCAGCCCAAGGGGAATCCCCTTTGGCTTAGCATGCAAACTTCTAACGGGGACTGTGGAGGTAGGTAACCACTCACCTCTTGTGTGGGCTGCAGCGATGGGTGCGTGCCAGCTCGTCATAGACTTCGCCACGCCTTTGGGGACTCTGAGTGGGGGGAGGGAAATGCAAAAAGGAAAATTATAAAAAGGAGAAGAAAACCAGGTGAAAGGTAGCACTCACCTGGGCCTGGCTGGCCACCGACTGTTCAACCACCACCACCACCTGCGTCTCCTTGTTGTCCGCATCGACCACATTGCCGGCCACACGCTTAGCGCTGGGCGGTGCACTCACTGGCTTGATCGTCATGGTGCCGCTGCAGCTACTGCTCCTATTCTAATGTTGTTGCCTTTGTTGCAGCTCCGTTTACTTTCCCCAAATGTGCGTCATAAACGAGGCGACGCGATGCGACGCTCCTCCGCAAGGCCTACTGCTCACGTTTCTCACCACTAACAAAAACTCGGCGGCGAACCGTGTGTGTTCTTTGTCCGATTCCCCGAGATTCCGATTCCGATTCAGACTCAGCTGGGCGATGTCGTCGCAGAAAATGCGATCTCAGGTTTCCTTTCACCCACCTTGCTGTGGCTTCGTGTCCCGAATAGCGGACGGGAAACGGTTTTTTTCATGCGCTGCTCAGCGCTATAGTTTTTCGATTTCTGGAATCTATCCCAGAAACACACTAATGTCTTGGATTTGACATGAAAATATAAGGAATGAATGACAATTTCCAGATTTTCTCATCTGTTTGTGCTTGTGCGTATGTGTGTGCGTGTGCGGACCACTGTGTGTGTCCGTGTGTGTGTGTGTGCTGTCTTTGCAATTGCTAACAATAATCGCTGGCTAAAAACGGCACTACGCACACTCACCGCTTGGATGCGATTTGCCACGGAGTTTAGGGTTTCATAAATAGCGATTTCGGCGCAACTTTGTATTGTTTTTAAGTCCTGTAATTCGATTTTTTATTTTGTGCACTTTGTGCTTCTTCTTACTGTTTTTGAGATTTTTTAGTACCATTTCAGCCCTGCCATCAGCAGTTACAATTTAGCTATTTTCCCGCTAGATCGGGGGTTTTTCTAATTTTAGCTATTTAAAACGGTCTTATTTAAATGATTTATGATTTTACGTTTAAATAATTCAATTAAGTACACTTATTATAAATTTACATAAATTTAGGATAAGAAAAATGAAAGATTTTCGCGAAAATTATTTTGTTTTTTATTATTATTTTTTTTATAATTAATTTTTTTATATTTTTAATAATGATTTTTATTAATATTTTTATTTAATATTTTAATAATTATTTTTTTTATTAAACTTATCACTCTACCAAGAAATTTTCTGAAAATCTTTATTTCTTAATATTTATAATATAACTAAGTATGTACATATGTGTTTTCTGTATAAGTTTTTATTATGTTAATAAATCTGCACTTTGTATTTAAAATTTAAAATAATATATATATATATATATTCATCTATTTTTTACAATTTTAGTGATGAAACCATAGGAAACGAAATGTGTTGTGCTTATGCTCTACTTAGTAGAATATAGAAATACCTTGAAGATGTATTATTTCTTTAATTATAAAGAAAAAGAAAATATTATAAACTTTTGTTTTAAAGGAAAGTTTAAGATGTATGAACTCTCGTTTAATAACGTCTGTTAGACTACTATGTCAATTGAATTCTCCCGTAGCGTTTGCTTACCCCACGGGTTTCTGACTCTGCATTATTAGAGATTGAATTCCAAATAACATTTGTGTAAATATGTCTAGTAAATATTTATTTATTTTTTTCTTTTTGGGAAAAGTATAAAGCAGCCAGAAGCGCAATTAAAATTTTAGTCATCTAACGAAGCCATTATGAAGTCGAAGGTTCTGTTAATTATCTTTTCGGTGTTACTTGCGGCCATATCATGCGCCTTTGCCCAATCTACTACAACCACTGAGGAGGCCCCTTGGTCCGCCGAAGCCTCCACCGAATCTCCGCCAGCATCCCAATGGCCATGGACGAACTTGTTTCAGTTTATCAAAAACAGCACCGGAAATAAGTTTTATTTCTTCTTTTAGAGTGCATGTTTCCAGAAATTAACGTTGCAATAAAATGATTTTAGTTGATCTACTAAAAAAATAAACACTGTCTGGTTATTTTAATTAAATATAAATTAATTTAATTTCAATTACAATATTATTATTTTATTTCTTACATTTCTGTGTGTTGTAAGACGATTTTAATATTTTAGTTCTTCCATTCATTATTTTATATTATAATTTTAGACGTCTGGAAGGCAGTGAATTTTCCGACCCCATAAATCATATATATTCTTGATTAACAGGCGAGTCTTTCTAGGCATGTCGGAGGAAAAAACAATTTTTTTCATTTTTTCAAAGTTTCATAAGGGGTTACATCGTTAAAATTTTCAATTATTAACAAAAAATTTGATTTCTTAAAATTTAAAATTCAGTATGCAGATTTGTCAACCTAGAAAAAACAAACCCAGAAAATCTTTCCGAATTTAAATTAATAGATTTTTGACTTAGTTATGCAATTTTTTAACTTTGATTGGACTAAAAAATTATTAACATTTTCTTTTTTAAGAATATTATATTGAGTTTTTCTTTTACTCTTTATTTCTTGTAATTTATAAATTTCCAAAACTTGTTCCCCTGGTATCTTGAGCCTTTCCACGATTCCTTAATAATCCAAACTTTATTAATACGTTTCTATCTTCATAAAAAATCTTATTTATATTTTCACTTGAACATAGGTGAGCCTTTTTCGCTATTAACAATAGTAAAACTACGATCAACTCAAATGAAAATACGATTAGTAATATTCAAATGCATATATTTTACAATCATATAAATTAAAGCCAAACACTCTTTTTTTGAGGCTTAGTCCATGGAAAAGGACTTGCTTTAATATTGATTGCTCCATCTTCCCCAACCGGCCCTGTATGGACGCCATCCATAGCGCCAGTTGGGCTGGGCTCCGACGCCCACCCAACGTTGGTTACCCCACCAGTAGGGATATTGTCCGGAACCGCGAACGGAGCCACCTTGCATCGAACCGTCGCTGCCCTCCGAATCATCCACATTCTGGCCGTCTACGGATACTTCTGCGCCATCCGTGCTGTCACTCTCTCCTGTGGAGCTCCTGGTCCACGATTGCGAGTCCTGCGACTGTCCATCGTGACTATTCTGACCTCTGGCATATCTGAAACGAATGTCGGGAGATCCTTGGACACCGGAGGCATCACTGGAGAATCCTGAGCGCTGAGACCACGATTGGACGCCACGAGATCCTCCTGGACCTACAACAAAACCGTTGCTGTGATCGTCTGATGAAATGCCCGCAGTGCTTCGTTTAATCAGCTTTGACCAAGAGTTTGATGAATCTTCGCTATTCACAGAGGTGGTTTCCCCAGTGGAAGGCTGGCTGCTCGAGCGGCTTGTCCAAGAAATTGTGTTGAGGGGATCGGACAATTTCTTTGATGTAGTTGACCACGAGTAGTTGGTCTCTGTCTTGGGCGCCGAAGAAGACTTGGACGTTGTAATTGTGGTCACAGTTTTGCTTGTCTTTCCACTCGATTCAGGAAGACTAGATGACTTTGAGGAGAAGGTCTTTGTTGTCTTAGTAATTGTCGAGCTGGATTTTCCGCCATTAACACCTGCGGTGACGTCAACTATAGGCACAGATGAGCTGCTTCCCTGATTACTTCCGCTCGTGGACGTGGTTGTAGTTGTCGTTGAAGATTTACTGGAATTTGCACTTTCGTCTGAGGAGCTTCCCAGAGACACTTTCACAATAGGAGAGGATGATGCTCCTGATTGACTGTTGTCCGAGCTGGATGTCACAGTTGTGGTCGTAGTTTTGCTAGACCCAGAGTTGGGAATCTTTGAGGTCTTCGAAGAGTAGGTCTTGGTAATCTTAGTAATTGTCGAACTGGATTTTCCTCCATTAACACCTGTGGTGACGGCAACTATAGGCAAAGATGAGCTGCTTCCCTTATTACTTCCGCTCGTCGTGGTTGTAGTTGTCGTTGAAGAGTGGCTGGAGTTGGCACCTTCGTCTGCGGAACTTTCTTGGGAAACTTTCACAATAGGAGAGGATGATGCTCCTGATTGACTGTTGTCCGAGCTGGATGTCACAGTTGTGGTCGTAGTTTTGCTAGAGCTAGACTTTCCACTTGACTTGGGAACCTTTGAGGTCTTTGACGAATAGGTCTTAGTTGTTTTTGTAGATTTCCAGCCAGATTTTCCAATTTTAACACCGGCGGTGACATCAACAGGTGGCACAGATGAGCTGCTTCCCTGATTACTTCCGCTCGTCGACGTGGTTGTAGTAGTCGTTGAAGATTGGCTGGAGTTTACACCTTCGTCTGCGGAACTTTCTTGGGAAACTTTCACAATAGGAGAGGATGATGCTCCTGATTGACTGTTGTCCGAGCTGGATGTCACAGTTGTGGTCGTAGTTTTGCTAGAGCTAGACTTTCCACTTGACTTGGGAACCTTTGAGGTCTTTGACGAATAGGTCTTAGTTGTTTTCGTAGATTTCCAGCCAGATTTTCCAATTTTAACACCTGTTGTAACATCAACAGGTGGCACAGATGAGCTGCTTGACTGATTACTTCCGCTCGTCGACGTGGTTGTAGTTGTCGTTGAAGATTGGCTGGAGTTTACACCTTCGTCTGCGGAACTTTCTTGGGAAACTTCCACAATAGGAGAGGATGATGCTCCTGATTGACTGTTGTCCGAGCTGGATGTCACAGTTGTTGTTGTAGTTTTGCTAGAGCTAGACTTTCCACTTGACTTGGGAACCTTTGAGGTCTTTGACGAATAGGTCTTAGTTGTTTTTGTAGATTTCCAGCCAGATTTTCCAATTTTAACACCGGCGGTGACATCAACAGGTGGCACAGATGAGCTGCTTCCCTGATTACTTCCGCTCGTCGACGTGGTTGTAGTTGTCGTTGAAGATTGGCTGGAGTTTACACCTTCGTCTGCGGAACTTTCTTGGGAAACTTCCACAATAGGAGAGGATGACGCTCCTGATTGACTGTTGTCCGAGCTGGATGTCACAGTTGTGGTCGTAGTTTTGTGAGAGCTAGACTTTCCACTTGACTTGGGAACCTTTGAGGTCTTTGACGAATAGGTCTTCGTTGTTTTTGTAGATTTCCAGCCAGATTTTCCAATTTTAACACCTGTTGTAACATCAACACCTGTTGTAACATCAACAGGTGGCACAGATGAGCTGCTTGACTGATTACTTCCGCTCGTCGTGGTTGTAGTTGTCGTTGAAGATTGGCTGGAATTGGCACCTTTGTGTGTGGAACTATCCTGGGATGATGCTCCTGATTGATTGTTGTCCGAGCTGGATGTCACAGTTGTGGTCCTAGTTCTGCGAGACTTTCCACTTTTCTTGGGAGTCTTTGAGGTCTTTGAAGAATATGTCTTAGTTGTTTTGGTAGATGACCACCTAGATTTACCGCCTTTGGAGGAGCTTCCTTGACTGACTTCTGCAACAGGAACAGTGCTAGATTGTCCCTCATCTGTAGAAGTGGTCGTGGTAGTCGTAGTCGTGGACGAAGACTGGCTTGAGCTGCCATTATCGTTGGAGGAGCTTCCCTCAGTGATCTCAACAGCAGGAACAGTGCTAGATTGTCCCTCATCTGCAGAAGTTGTCGTGGTAGTCGTAGTCGTAGACGAAGACTGGCTTGAGCTGCCATTATCGGTGGAGGAGCTTCCCGAAGTCACTTCGACGACCGGGTTGGAAGAGGTGCTAGATTGTCCCTCATTTGCAGAAGTTGTCGTGCTGGTCGTAGTCGTGGACGAAGACTGGCTTGAGCTGCCATTATCGTTGGTGGAGCTTCCCTCAGCGATCTCAACAGCAGGAACAGTGCTAGATTGTCCCTCATCTGTAGAAGTTGTCGTGGTAGTCGAAGTCGTGGACGAAGACTGGCTTGAGCTGCCATTATCGTTGGTGGAGCTTCCCTCAGCGATCTCAACAGCAGGAACAGTGCTAGATTGTCCCTCATCTGTAGAAGTTGTCGAGGTAGTCGTAGTCGTGGACGAAGACTGGCTTGAGCTGCCATTATCGTTGGTGGAGCTTCCCTCAGCGATCTCAACAGCAGGAACAGTGCTAGATTGTCCCTCATCTGTAGAAGTTGTCGAGGTAGTCGTAGTCGTGGACGAAGACTGGCTTGAGCTGCCATTATCGTTGGAGGAGCTTCCCTCAGTGATCTCAACAGCAGGAACAGTGCTAGATTGTCCCTCATCTGTAGTAGTGGTCGTGGTAGTCGTAGTCGTAGACGAAGACTGGCTTGTGCTGCCATTATCGGTGGAGGAGCTTCCCGAAGTCACTTCGACGACCGGGTCGGAAGAGGTGCTAGATTGTCCCTCATCTGTAGAAGTTGTCGAGGTAGTCGTAGTCGTGGACGAAGACTGGCTTGAGCTGCCATTATCGTTGGAGGAGCTTCCCTCAGTGATTTCAACAGCAGGAACAGTGCTAGATTGTCCCTCATCTGTAGAAGTGGTCGTGGTAGTCGTAGTCGTGGACGAAGACTGGCTTGAGCTGCCATTATCGTTGGAGGAGCTTCCCTCAGTGATTTCAACAGCAGGAACAGTGCTAGATTGTCCCTCATCTGTAGAAGTGGTCGTGGTAGTCGTAGTCGTGGACGAAGACTGGCTTGAGCTGCCATTATCGTTTGAGGAGCTTCCCTCAGTGATCTCAACAGCAGGAACAGTGCTAGATTGTCCCTCATCTGCAGAAGTTGTTGTGGTAGTCGTAGTCGTAGACGAAGACTGGCTTGAGCTGCCATTATCGGTGGAGGAGCTTCCCTCAGTGATCTCAACAGCAGGAACAGTGCTAGATTGTCCCTCATCTGTAGAAGTTGTCGTGGTAGTCGTAGTCGTGGACGAAGACTGGCTTGAGCTGCCATTATCGTTTGAGGAGCTTCCCTCAGTGATCTCAACAGCAGGAACAGTGCTAGATTGTCCCTCATCTGCAGAAGTTGTTGTGGTAGTCGTAGTCGTAGACGAAGACTGGCTTGAGCTGCCATTATCGTTTGAGGAGCTTCCCTCAGTGTTCTCAACAGCAGGAACAGTGCTAGATTGTCCCTCATCTGCAGAAGTTGTCGTGGTGGTCGTAGTTGTGGACGAAGACTGGCTTGAGCTGCCATTATCGGTGGAGGAGCTTCCCGAAGTCACTTCGACGACCGGGTCGGAAGAGGTGCTAGATTGTCCCTCATCTGCAGAAGTTGTCGTGGTGGTCGTAGTCGTGGACGAAGACTGGCTTGAGCTGCCATTATCGGTGGAGGAGCTTCCCGAAGTCACTTCGACGACCGGGTCGGAAGAGGTGCTAGATTGTCCCTCATCTGTAGAAGTTGTCGAGGTAGTCGTAGTCGTGGACGAAGACTGGCTTGAGCTGCCATTATCGTTGGAGGAGCTTCCCTCAGTGATTTCAACAGCAGGAACAGTGCTAGATTGTCCCTCATCTGTAGAAGTGGTCGTGGTAGTCGTAGTCGTGGACGAAGACTGGCTTGAGCTGCCATTATCGTTTGAGGAGCTTCCCTCAGTGATCTCAACAGCAGGAACAGTGCTAGATTGTCCCTCATCTGCAGAAGTTGTTGTGGTAGTCGTAGTCGTAGACGAAGACTGGCTTGAGCTGCCATTATCGGTGGAGGAGCTTCCCTCAGTGATCTCAACAGCAGGAACAGTGCTAGATTGTCCCTCATCTGTAGAAGTTGTCGTGGTAGTCGTAGTCGTGGACGAAGACTGGCTTGAGCTGCCATTATCGTTTGAGGAGCTTCCCTCAGTGATCTCAACAGCAGGAACAGTGCTAGATTGTCCCTCATCTGCAGAAGTTGTTGTGGTAGTCGTAGTCGTAGACGAAGACTGGCTTGAGCTGCCATTATCGGTGGAGGAGCTTCCCTCAGTGATCTCAACAGCAGGAACAGTGCTAGATTGTCCCTCATCTGTAGAAGTTGTCGTGGTAGTCGTAGTCGTGGACGAAGACTGGCTTGAGCTGCCATTATCGTTTGAGGAGCTTCCCTCAGTGATCTCAACAGCAGGAACAGTGCTAGATTGTCCCTCATCTGCAGAAGTTGTCGTGGTGGTCGTAGTTGTGGACGAAGACTGGCTTGAGCTGCCATTATCGTTTGAGGAGCTTCCCGAAGTCACTTCGACGACCGGGTCGGAAGAGGTGCTAGATTGTCCCTCATCTGCAGAAGTTGTCGTGGTGGTCGTAGTCGTGGACGAAGACTGGCTTGAGCTGCCATTATCGTTGGTGGAGCTTCCCTCAGCGATCTCAACAGCAGGAACAGTGCTAGATTGTCCCTCATCTGTAGAAGTTGTCGAGGTAGTCGTAGTCGTGGACGAAGACTGGCTTGAGCTGCCATTATCGTTGGTGGAGCTTCCCTCAGCGATCTCAACAGCAGGAACAGTGCTAGATTGTCCCTCATCTGTAGAAGTGGTCGAGGTAGTCGTAGTCGTGGACGAAGACTGGCTTGAGCTGCCATTATCGTTTGAGGAGCTTCCCTCAGTGATCTCAACAGCAGGAACAGTGCTAGATTGTCCCTCATCTGTAGAAGTTGTCGAGGTAGTCGTAGTCATGGACGAAGACTGGCTTGAGCTGCCATTATCGTTTGAGGAGCTTCCCTCAGTGATCTCAACAGCAGGAACAGTGCTAGATTGTCCCTCATCTGCAGAAGTTGTCGTGGTAGTCGTAGTCGTAGACGAAGACTGGCTTGAGCTGCCATTATCGGTGGAGGAGCTTCCCGAAGTCACTTCGACGACCGGGTCGGAAGAGGTGCTAGATTGTCCCTCATCTGTAGAAGTTGTCGAGGTAGTCGTAGTCGTGGACGAAGACTGGCTTGAGCTGCCATTATCGTTGGAGGAGCTTCCCTCAGTGATTTCAACATCAGGAACAGTGCTAGATTGTCCCTCATCTGTAGAAGTGGTCGTGGTAGTCGTAGTCGTGGACGAAGACTGGCTTGAGCTGCCATTATCGTTTGAGGAGCTTCCCTCAGTGATCTCAACAGCAGGAACAGTGCTAGATTGTCCCTGATCTGTAGAAGTTGTCGTGGTGGTCGTAGTCGTGGACGAAGACTGGCTTGAGCTGCCATTATCGTTGGTGGAGCTTCCCTCAGCGATCTCAACAGCAGGAACAGTGCTAGATTGTCCCTCATCTGTAGAAGTTGTCGAGGTAGTCGTAGTCGTGGACGAAGACTGGCTTGAGCTGCCATTATCGTTGGAGGAGCTTCCCTCAGTGATTTCAACAGCAGGAACAGTGCTAGATTGTCCCTCATCTGTAGAAGTGGTCGTGGTAGTCGTAGTCGTGGACGAAGACTGGCTTGAGCTGCCATTATCGGTGGAGGAGCTTCCCGAAGTCACTTCGACGACCGGGTCGGAAGAGGTGCTAGATTGTCCCTGATCTGAAGAAGTTGTCGTGGTAGTCGTAGTCGTGGACGAAGACTGGCTTGAGCTGCCATTATCGTTGGTGGAGCTTCCCTCAGCGATCTCAACAGCAGGAACAGTGCTAGATTGTCCCTCATCTGTAGAAGTTGTCGAGGTAGTCGTAGTCGTGGACGAAGACTGGCTTGAGCTGCCATTATCGTTGGTGGAGCTTCCCTCAGCAGGAACAGTGCTAGATTGTCCCTCATCTGTAGAAGTTGTCGAGGTAGTCGTAGTCGTGGACGAAGACTGGCTTGAGCTGCCATTATCGTTGGTGGGGCTTCCCTCAGCGATCTCAACAGCAGGAACAGTGCTAGATTGTCCCTCATCTGTAGAAGTGGTCGAGGTAGTCGTAGTCGTGGACGAAGACTGGCTTGAGCTGCCATTATCGTTTGAGGAGCTTCCCTCAGTGATCTCAACAGCAGGAACAGTGCTAGATTGTCCCTCATCTGTAGAAGTTGTCGAGGTAGTCGTAGTCGTGGACGAAGACTGGCTTGAGCTGCCATTATCGTTGGTGGAGCTTCCCTCAGCGATCTCAACAGCAGGAACAGTGCTAGATTGTCCCTCATCTGTAGAAGTTGTCGAGGTAGTCGTAGTCGTGGACGAAGACTGGCTTGAGCTGCCATTATCGTTGGAGGAGCTTCCCTCAGTGATTTCAACAGCAGGAACAGTGCTAGATTGTCCCTCATCTGTAGAAGTGGTCGAGGTAGTCGTAGTCGTGGACGAAGACTGGCTTGAGCTGCCATTATCGTTGGTGGAGCTTCCCTCAGCGATCTCAACAGCAGGAACAGTGCTAGATTGTCCCTCATCTGTAGAAGTGGTCGAGGTAGTCGTAGTCGTGGACGAAGACTGGCTTGAGCTGCCATTATCGTTTGAGGAGCTTCCCTCAGTGATCTCAACAGCAGGAACAGTGCTAGATTGTCCCTCATCTGTAGAAGTTGTCGAGGTAGTCGTAGTCGTGGACGAAGACTGGCTTGAGCTGCCATTATCGTTGGTGGAGCTTCCCTCAGCGATCTCAACAGCAGGAACAGTGCTAGATTGTCCCTCATCTGTAGAAGTTGTCGAGGTAGTCGTAGTCGTGGACGAAGACTGGCTTGAGCTGCCATTATCGTTGGAGGAGCTTCCCTCAGTGATTTCAACAGCAGGAACAGTGCTAGATTGTCCCTCATCTGTAGAAGTGGTCGTGGTAGTCGTAGTCGTGGACGAAGACTGGCTTGAGCTGCCATTATCGGTGGAGGAGCTTCCCGAAGTCACTTCGACGACCGGGTCGGAAGAGGTGCTAGATTGTCCCTGATCTGAAGAAGTTGTCGTGGTAGTCGTAGTCGTGGACGAAGACTGGCTTGAGCTGCCATTATCGTTGGTGGAGCTTCCCTCAGCGATCTCAACAGCAGGAACAGTGCTAGATTGTCCCTCATCTGTAGAAGTGGTCGTGGTAGTCGTAGTCGTAGACGAAGACTGGCTTGAGCTGCCATTATCGGTGGAGGAGCTTCCCGAAGTCACTTCGACGACCGGGTCGGAAGAGGTGCTAGATTGTCCCTGATCTGAAGAAGTTGTCGTGGTAGTCGTAGTCGTGGACGAAGACTGGCTTGAGCTGCCATTATCGTTGGTGGAGCTTCCCTCAGCGATCTCAACAGCAGGAACAGTGCTAGATTGTCCCTCATCTGTAGAAGTTGTCGAGGTAGTCGTAGTCGTGGACGAAGACTGGCTTGAGCTGCCATTATCGTTGGTGGAGCTTCCCTCAGCGATCTCAACAGCAGGAACAGTGCTAGATTGTCCCTCATCTGTAGAAGTTGTCGTGGTAGTCGTAGTCGTGGACGAAGACTGGCTTGAGCTGCCATTATCGTTGGTCGAGCTTCCCTCAGCGATCTCAACAGCAGGAATAGTGCTAGATTGTCCCTCATCTGTAGAAGTTGTCGAGGTAGTCGTAGTCGTGGACGAAGACTGGCTTAAGCTGCCATTATCGGTGGAGGAGCTTCCCGAAGTCACTTCGACGACCGGGTCGGAAGAGGTGATATATTGTCCCTGATCTGAAGAAGTTGTCGTGGTAGTCGTAGTCGTGGACGAAGACTGGCTTGAGCTGCCATTATCGTTTGAGGAGCTTCCCTGAGAGATCTCAACAGCAGGAACAGTGCTAGATAGTCCCTCATCAGCAGAAGTTGTCGTGGTAGTCGTAGTCGTGGACGAAGACTGGCTTAAGCTGCCATTATCGGTGGAGGAGCTTCCCGAAGTCACTTCGACGACCGGGTCGGAAGAGGTGCTAGATTGTCCCTCATCTGTAGAAGTGGTCGTGGTGGTCGTTGTCGTGGACGAAGACTGGCTTGAGCTGCCATTATCGTTTGAGGAGCTTCCCTCAGCGATCTCAACAGCAGGAACAGTGCTAGATAGTCCCTCACCTGTAGAAGTTGTCGAGGTAGTCGTAGTCGTGGACGAAGACTGGCTTGAGCTGCCATTATCATTGGAGGAGCTTCCCTCAGTGATCTCAACAGCAGGACCAGTGCTAGATTGTCCCTCATCTGTAGAAGTTGTCGTGGTAGTCGTAGTCGTGGACGAAGACTGGCTTGAGCTGCCATTTTCGGTGGAGGAGCTTCCCGAAGTCACTTCGACGACCGGGTCGGAAGAGGTGCTAGATTGTCCCTCATCTGCAGAAGTTGTCGTGGTGGTCGTAGTCGTGGACGAAGACTGGCTTGAGCTGCCATTATCGTTGGTGGAGCTTCCCTCAGCGATCTCAACAGCAGGAACAGTGCTAGATAGTCCCTCACCTGTAGAAGTTGTCGAGGTAGTCGTAGTCGTGGACGAAGACTGGCTTGAGCTGCCATTATCGGTGGAGGAGCTTCCCGAAGTCACTTCGACGACCGGGTCGGAAGAGGTGCTAGATTGTCCCTCATCTGTAGAAGTGGTCGTGGTGGTCGTTGTCGTGGACGAAGACTGGCTTGAGCTGCCATTATCGTTTGAGGAGCTTCCCTGAGAGATCTCAACAGCAGGAACAGTGCTAGATTGTCCCTCATCAGCAGAAGTTGTTGTGGTAGTCGTAGTCGTGGACGAAGACTGGCTTGAGCTGCCATTATCATTGGAGGAGCTTCCCTCAGTGATCTCAACAGCAGGACCAGTGCTAGATTGTCCCTCATCTGTAGAAGTGGTCGTGGTAGTCGTAGTCGTGGACGAAGACTGGCTTGAGCTGCCATTATCGGTGGAGGAGCTTCCCGAAGTCACTTCGACGACCGGGTCGGAAGAGGTGCTAGATTGTCCCTCATCTGTAGAAGTGGTCGTGGTAGTCGTAATCGTGGACGAAGACTGGCTTGAGCTGCCATTATCATTGGAGGAGCTTCCCTCAGTGATCTCAACAGCAGGAACAGTGCTAGCTTGTCCCTCATCAGCAGAAGTTGTCGTGGTAGTCGTAGTCGTGGACGAAGACTGGCTTGAGCTGCCATTTTCGTTGGAGGAGCTTCCCGAAGTGCTTTCTACAACGGGTTCGGAAGACTGACCCTCATTTGAGGTTGTTGTAGTAGTTGTAGTTGAGGATGAGGGCTGGCTAGACACTCCATCATCGTTAATATCATCAGAAGTTGTCTGGCCATCAATGGATTGACCATATATTTCGTCGAAGATATTAGAACTTTCATTTGATATTTCAAGATTCTTTTTTCCGTTGGCACAGTTCACGTAATTTGGATTTCCGAGCAATTCGCCGTCATGAAGTAGGATTAGCTTTCCGAAGAGCCTATCCAGCAGCCACAGACGGATATCCTTTCGGATGTCTATTAAAGTTTGTCGAACACTTTCACAACACGGCTGGGGCTTAATATCCGGGGTAGCCACCGCCGTAACCGTTTGGGATTGGGATTGGGCCGCTGCGAGGGCCAAGAGAGCGGCCACAACCGCGACGAAAATCAAGCGCATGATCCTCCAAGAGACCGGGAGTCGGATCAAAAAGATCTGTTGCCCAAATTTGGGATTTGAGGCCTTTTATACCCTGGCCCGGGAGTCTCGCTGTATTTCGGCTATTTGCCTAGATGCTTTTGTATAGCTTGCGAATTTCATTTGCTAAACAACATTTGGTACTTCCATTGTTGCCACGAAAATAAGACAAAAACTAAGCAAACTGTCTGAACTATACTATATATGTCCAAACAAATACCTCCTTTAAATACCTATTAGAGAAACAACTGTGCAAAATATTTGTTCTTAGCTTGGCTTAAACACTTGTTAGATATTTTGACTTTACGTAAATTGCGTGCTCGTGTCGGAATTATACGTCAGAGGTGCATTAGCCGATTTTTGAACAATTGAATTAAGACACACGGGAACGGTTTATTTAGACAGCCAGTTTTAAAGAAATGTGGGATACACAAAATACTTTCGCTTCTGTTTATTCATACGATTTGGGATTATATGATTGTGTAACAAACTATAATATTTGACTACGGAGTTTATTTTTCTTTTAGTATTCATCGTTTTCGAAGGGATGATGGGGGTGGCCAGCAAATCTGTAAATATTAAAAGATTATTTATTATTTATATTAATAGAGCATATTATTTATGCTAATCTACGACTTTTAATTCAAGAAGAAAAAGACAGTGAAAATTAGAAAACATAAAGCACACATAAACACTTTAAGCAAAGATTGTTTTTTTGTGAATTATTGTTTGCTTGGAAAATATAGAATTATTCAAGATTTATACTTGCTAGGAAATAGGATCATTTTAATATTTTAAATCAAAATTGATTACTTACTGCAGAACAGGAACCACACGACCGTTGCACTCCAAGCTGTCTATGATTTCGACTTCCTCGGGTGTTAGCTCAAAGTCAAAGACCTGGAAGTTCGACTCAATGCGGCTCTTGGTCGCCGATTTGGGCACTACGATAACACCGCGCTGGATCTGGTAACGAATAAGAATCTGTCCAGGAGTCTTGTTCTTCTTGGCGGCAATCGCCTTGATCTATATAAAAAGTAAGGTAAGAAGGGTTTTTATTTACTCTACAAATAATTTAAAAACATCTCTAAAATTTACCTTTGCCTCCTCCAGGACAATCTTAGGATCGCCAGCCGAAAAGCGGCTGGGAGAGCCCAAGGGACTGTATGCGGTGATCGTAATACCCTTCGACCTGCAGAAGTCAATCAGTTTCTTCTGATTCAGATATGGGTGACTCTCCACCTGGTTGGTTACTGGTATGATCTTGGCCACCGCCAGAACGCGCTCGAGTTGCCTCTTATTAGCTTCTCTAAGGCCTTCCAGGTATCCACATAATCGACTGAAGAAAACAGAGTCTTGCCGTTCTCATCGACTGGGATCAGTTCGCCACCCTCCTGAAAACCCATTGGCCAGTGGAGCAGATAGAGATCGAGATACTTGAGCTTCAGAGCGCTAAGAGTATTCTCCAAAGCTCCCCTGACCAGATTGGGACTGTGGAATGTGTTCCAAATTTTGCTGGTGATGAAAAGATCCTCGCTGGGAATGGAAGTGGTTTAATACAAAACACGAAAAGGAAATAAGTTATAAACCAACCGCTTAACCACGCCCTCCTTGATCTTGGCCTCCACGGCCTTTCCAACCTCGTCTTCATTTTGGTAGACATGAGCACAGTCAATGTGCCTGTAGCCAGCATCGATGGCGTTTTTCACAGCCTCGGTAACCTGACCTTTGGGGCTCTTGATAGAATAAGTAAAAAATAAACAAATTATTGATTATTCTGTAATTTTAAAATTGAAATCTTTTGGATACATGTTTGTGCTATTACATAGCTTAACATTTTTATGACTGCACTTGATATTTGCAAGTAATACTTTAAATCAGAAAATAAGGTTTTCTGGAACAAACTGTATCTAAAGATTTTGAGTACATTTGCAGCTTTTAATTCACAATTTCACAACCAACATTTATCTGCCACTTGACGTCGCTTATCATTAATGAAAATATAAAAATTGATTTGAGTTAGAATATTGAATAAAATGTAGCTCTCCTGTTTAATTTATAATTCTTTCAAAATAAAATTCTTCAATGTTGATTGTATGTTATAATAATAGGTAAAATTGTAAAAGATAAGAAAAACATACCCTAATAATACCCTTGCCATTTAAGCACTTCTAATCAGCAGTTTTTCCACTTGATCTAAATAGATTTTTAGTTTATAAATTTAATTTTACCTAGAGCTTTGCCGGTGCGAGTCTTACGTAAATTATAGATTTCATTTTAGGGGGCTCGTCTTTCCGTGATTATACCTATACACATGTACATGCACTAAGAGTTAAACCTATAACCATATTCAGTGAGACTGTAGTGTTTAGGAAACCTCCACTTCAGATAAGAATAATGTTTATCAACCGAGTTTGAAATAACGTCAGACAATGTGGCCCAAATCTATGGCTGTATGTCTGGTATATCAGATGGTGATGCAGCACATATTTGAGACGTTTGTGAAATTCCCAAGAAGGGAGAAAAGGTCACCTTGGCTAAAAGGTTAGAAAGATTTTAATTTCACTTTAGAAAGGAAGTTAAATCCCCTATTAAAATGAACGCAGACAGAGCCAATAAGGCTTTCAGACTAATGTTAAAAATATAATAATAATATCTATCATCCAAACTTTATAAATCTAAGAAATTAATGTTCTACTTACGCCCCAGGTTCCCAGCCCAAGGATGGGTATCTCCTGGCCGTTGTTGAATTTAACTTTTGGTACTGTGGGAGCCATTTTGTAAGATAAGGATTGATAGGGGTTAAGGCTATATAATACAGTAGGTCTACTTCTACGTCACTTTCAGGGAAAACTGAACGGCGTTACTCAGTGGTTGGCTGTTTAAATACTTTTTGAAAACTTTTTCAGGGTTGCAGGGGCATGTAATCAAAACATTCCACGTGTAGCTATTTCTCTCTAATCAGGTAAGTCTTTTTTGTTGTTGCAGACACACTCTCTTAGTTAGTTTGGAGATTTTTTTGAACTCTTATTTTATTTATCTTTAATGGTATATCTTTATATTTTTTAGTTTTCTGATTATCTATGTATATTTCTTTAATATATATTAAAGGGATGGAAAGCCAGTAATTGGCAATTTTTTCTAGCGGCTTTTTTATAATATATCTATGTATTTAATAATATTTAATATATTTTATAATAAAGAATGTCTCAGTACAGCACCATTCAGGTAAAATTATTTTAGTTTGGTTAGGCCTCATTAATATGTTTTTAACATTTTGTTAAAAGTACAAATTTTAAGATTACAAAATATTTAGTACCAAAAAAACCAAAAGACATTTTCCTAAAGCTTTTTTTGTATCTAAGAAATAATAATAAGCTTTCCCCTTTATTCACTATAAACTGAACATATTCAGATTATCTGATCCCCGAAAAAACACACCAATTAGTTTTATATATATTATTTTTTATGCATACGATTTAAGGTTATTTGTGTAAGAAATTATACATTAAAATTGTGCACCGGGTTGACATTTAGTATTCGTCCCTTGCAAAGGGATGGTGGGGATGACGCTGGTGGCTGTAAATATAAAAGAATCATTATTAGTATTTTATTCTTAAATTATTAAATCACAAAAAACTGTATTAACAAAATTAACACAACTAGAAAGCAACTAGGAGCTGTTATCTAACTAGATTTAGTAGCAAACTATTTGGTTTATGTCTATAAACAAGGCAACTAAAATATACAAGCAAGAGAGGGTAAACTAATAACACATATACTTGTATGTATAAACACCATGTACTTGTTTATAAAGATCGGCTTCACTTGCTGATAATTGTTTGCCTTTCAATGGTTTTGGATTTCTTGGGTTTTCTCATTTATAAGAATTCTTTGAAATTATTTGCCTGGCAAATATCGATTTCTTGAGGCTTAAAACTCTTCGTGAAATGGATAGTGCTTATGGGTACCAATGCTATATAAATATAAATAAAAGGACAATAGAAAATGACAAATTAAGGTAAATAGAAAAACCTTTCAAAATAATAAATTTATAAATAAAAAAATTAAATTTCTTTTGAAACTTACTCCACCAAGGCAACCAGGCGACCGTTGCACTCGAAGCTCTCAATGATCTCGACCTCCGCGGGTGTCAACACAAAGTCAAAGACCTCAAAATTGGACTCAATGCGATCCTTGGTCACAGACTTGGGAATCACAATATTGCCGCGCTGGATTTGGTAACGGATAAGAATCTGTCCCGGGGTCTTGTTCTTCTTGGCTGCCAGTTCCTTGATCTATGATTAAAAATGTTATGTAAATTTATGTTTATTTTTAAATATTACTAAAATATCCACCTTAGGTTCCTCCAGGATGACCGGATCACCAGCCTTGGCCCAGGGGCGGTTGGGCGAGCCCAAAGGACTGTAGGCAGTGATCGTAATACCCTTGGACCTGCAGTAGTCCATCAGTTTCTTCTGCGGCAGATACGGATGGCACTCGACCTGGTTGGTGGCTGGCACGATCTTGGCCACAGCCAGAATGCGCTCAATCTGATTCTTGTTGAAGTTAGACACTCCAATGGACTTGACCAGACCATCTTCCACCAGCTTCTCCATGGCCTTCCAGGTGTCCACATAATCAACGTCCGAATAGGCAGTCTTGCCATCCTTATCGACGGGGAACAACTCGCCACCTTCCTTGAAGCCCATGGGCCAGTGGATCAGGTAAAGATCGAGATACTTGAGCTTCAGAGCGCTCAGGGTTTTCTCCACAGCGGGCCTGACCAGATTGGGGCTATGGAATGTGTTCCACACCTTGCTGGTGATGAAGAGATCCTCGCTGGAAATGAAAGTGGCTTAATATTGAAATGCAGATAAAATGTTTAGGGTTTAGGACCTACCGCTTGACCACGCCCTCCTTGATCTTGGCCTCAACACCCTCTCCAACCTCATCTTCATTCTGGTAGACATGAGCACAGTCAATGTGCCTGTAGCCAGCATCGATGGCGACTTTCACAGCCTCAGTAACCTGACCCTTGGGGCTCTGGAAAAGCAAAAATGTAAATCAATATTAGTTTAAGGAATTGGAAATATAAAAATAATTGGAATAAGTATGTTTAGACTTTTAAAATATTTATTTAAATTATTTCTGTTATTTTTATTTAATAATTTTGTATTATAAAAAGTGAACATTTATATTCTCAATAAGAAATGAAGGGCTTCTGGAATGTTTTCCACTTCAAACGTCATCATAGCAACGAAATTTCACAATATTTCTAAAGAAGTCGGCCTATCTTGGCTTTACTTATCAGTCCTCTTAGTACCTTCATTTTTAATCAATTATAATTTAAGAGATTTCATTAGGAATATTTTATAAAATATTTGTAATATCAAATGAAAACGGAAGCTTATATTGAGAAGAATGTTGGTTCAAAAAAAGTTCATTTAATTTTGACATAATTTGTATAAACTTTGACCTTCTAATTTATGACTTTAATAAATCATTAATTGTGCTGAATAATATTAGGCATTTAACGATTGCAATAGATAAGGCCAAATACAGAAATACCCTTATAATACCCTTGCTAATTAAGCTCAGCTTATCAGCAATTGTTACACTATAATCTGAATACTGAATACTATATGTTTAGGAATTTCAATTTACCTAGAGCTTTGAGTATAATGAAAATGAATGTTTTCGCTTTGAGGGGCTTGTTTAGAACCTAAAACCACTCCCCTTTCTAGTAAAGAACTCTCATAAAAAACTGTAACAATCTTGTTTAATAAATCCTCACCACTTCAGATAAGGAATGTTTATCAAACTATATATATATGTATATAAATTCATGTAGAGTGTACATCAAGGTGATGATGCGGCAAATATTTGTAAAATATTCCACAAACTTAAGTGGGGCATAAAAGGGTCACCTTGGCTTGGCCAGAAGCTCCAGAAAGATCCTCAAATCATTGAAAACTAATAATTATAGAGCATTAGTTAATTTCATAGTATTGCTGCCAGATTCAACACTTCCACACATACAAAATAAAATTTAAAAATATAAAAAAAAATACTAACAAACACAACCGGCAAACTATCAGGCTGTACAACGCGTGTTGCTATTTTATCTCTCTCATTTTAATTTTATTTTTTGTCTGTCTTTAGTGCAAAAGAGAACTAAGCAAAAAACGGGAAGTCGTGGGCAGCGGAAAACTACTGCGATTAGGGGGTGCTCAAGTGCTATTTAATTGATTTTAGTCTAGAATTTACTAGAATTTATTGCATGTTCTACTTACACCCCAGGTTCCCAGACCAATGATGGGGATCTCCTTGCCGTTGTTGAACTTAACGTTGGGTACATTGGGTGCCATTTTGTTTGCTGTTTGCTTCCCTTATTTAACCGGTAAGAATTATAAATATATATAATACAACGACGGCACTTGTCTAAAACAGAACTGAACAATGTCGCCCAGCTGGTGGCCAGTTTTATAAGCCTCTAAAGCTTATAAAAAACGCAGGAAAAGCTTTTTAAACAGGGCTGCAGTGGTTAGTAAAAAACAGCTGAGCGATCGCAACCGTTAGTTTTGAATTTCAACCCCTTTAAAATAATTATTTCTATTTTAAGTGTAGTTCAGAAAATGCAAAAATAGATTATAAATAATTTAGCAGTAATAATAAATTTAAAAAAATTTAAAATAGTTGCAAATTATTAAGCAAACAAATACCCTTGAATAATACTTACATTCCAAGTTCCAAGGCCAATTATAGGTATTTCATGGCCATCATTAAATTTTATTTTGGGAACTTTAGGGATATCCCTTGGGCAATCGCTAAGGGATTGTTTTTATAAAAACTAATTAAGTATAAAGTTTTACAAATACAATACCACATTAATCTCTCCATTTTACTATAATTCTTAATCGAGTTTCGTATTAGTTGATATTTCCAGAAAGAGTTCATAATAGTATAATTCCTACTTTATTTAAATACATTTTAAATCACTATGAATTGTTAAAGCTGAGCTCACTTTGATTTTCTAATTTCTCTAAACAAAAAATAGCATGATAAAAGTGTAAATAAAAATAAAAAGCCACATTTTAAGGTTCCAAAATGAAAGCTAAAGCAAAAGTCTAATAATTAAAAAAATAACCCAATTTGCATAGCAAAATACATGGATTTATTAAAGCATCTTTAAAACAAGACAAAAGCTTAAACAAAATTCGTGCCAGAAGCTGTATTAATCCTGACATATCCTTCTCTTTACATGTCCTTCAATCCATAGAAACTAATTTATTTCGTTTGGCCAGGCTCAAAAGGATGATGCGGATGACCATAGGCCCTTAAAAAAATAATCCAATAATATATATAAATATTAATAATTAATAAAACTAAAACCTACGCCTTCATGGTCATAAAACGACCATTGCAGTCCAAATCATCAATAGCCTTGGTATCATCTATGGCCAATTCAAAGTCCCAGATCCGCTTGAAGTTGTCGCTCATGTGATGCTTGCTCACAGAACGCGGTATAACAATGATGCCCGACTGCGTCTGATAGCGAAGTAGGACCTGGGCCGCCGTCCTGCCATACTTCTCCGCTATGGCCAATATGGTGGGATGCTGCAGCAGCGGATATGCTCCAGGCTTCTCGTAGGGAGTATGACCCGATCCCAGAGAGCTGTAGGCGGTCACAGCTATGGCATTGTCATAGCATAAAGTAATCAAGGACTTCTGGCGCAGGTACGGGTGGCACTCGATCTGAAGAACCACCGGCTTTAGCTTGGCCACGCTTAGAAGCCGATTGATTTGCTGTTCGTTAAAGTTGGAGACCCCTATGGCATGGACCAGTCCTTGGTCTACGAGATCCTCCATGGCTCGCCACGTGTCTATGTAATCTATATCCTCAAAAACCGCCTTGTTTGTATCCGGGCAGGTGGGATACAGGTTGTCTCCCGACTTGTAGGCCATGGGCCAGTGCATGAGGTAGAGATCTAGATAGCATACACCCAGATTTCTCATACTTGTCTCGCAGGCGCCACGCACTAGCTCAGGTTTGTGATAGGTGTTCCAGAGTTTGCTGGTGATGAAGAGGCTGTCACTGAAGGGATTTTGATTTGAAAAAAGGATTTACTGGATTTTTTGTATATAATTTACCGCGTGACCACCCCTTCCTGCATTTTCTCCCGGAGAGCAGCTCCCACTTGTGCCTCGTTGCCATAAATGTGGGCACAATCAAAGTGCCGGTAGCCAATGTCAATGGCATCCTTGACAGCTTGCGTGATGACCTCCGGAGGACTCTAAAATCAATGGGTTAGAACTTTTAAAAAGCTAAAGTGCAACCAAAGCTCTCTAAGCTTTGGCTTTGACCATGAAATAAACATTTCAAGTGCATTTCTTTGGGCCATTATTCAATAGTATTATTACCACTTTCAGGCAGACTCACCCGCCAGGTCCCAAGACCCACCATAGGCATATTTTTACCATTGCTCAGTAGAAAGTTTGGCGTCGACATTTCTTGGGATTTTCCCTCGTCGTTAAATGTTTTGGTGTTAAAAACGACGGGCCTGTGCGCTATGTTACGCTTTATTTTACAATTTAGCAAGTGAACTAAAACACAGGGACCCGCTAATTTGGCTACAAATAAAAATGTTTGTGACAGTTTCGGAAGCCAACTATATATACATACGTAAATTGTTTAAATTTAGAAACTTGTGGGCAAGCAAAAGACTTTCGCCGAACATAATCGATTTGCAGCCAAAGAGAATTTACAAAATGATTAGTTAATTTTATTTTGTTAGTTTTGAGAACGGTAATTGTCATTTGGACATGTTAATATCCTAATTAAATTTTGGGCTCATAAATTCAAATTTTCATTATAATCAGTAGGCTTTGAAAAATTATTTCTGTTTTCTACAGGCTGTTCCCAACCGAATTAATTAAATGTATATTAAAAAAATTAAAATTAGAATTTCGCTTATATTAATAAAAAGGGTTTTCCGGTGCATTTAAATATTTTAAAGCGGAAAGTGGTCTAACGGTTTTTCAGTATTTTGTTCACCTTATTAGTATTTTTAGTACACTTTTTAGAACATTGGTATATTCGATTGACCGTTATCGATTTGTTGGTCACACTGCCGTTCTTTTGTTTTTATTTCCCCGGTAAAATGTTTGGAACAGTAAATAATTATTTATCCAGCGTGCTAAGTGCCACCGATGACTACGATGGCGAGGCCTTGGGCACCCACATATCCCTGCGCGATGTCCACGTGCAGAACCACAACCTGTACATTGCCCAGCCGGAGAAGTTGGTGGAGCGATTCCTGAAGCCGCCCATAGATGAAGTAGTGTCCGCTCACCTAAAGGTGCTCTATCAGCTGGCCCAGGAGCCACCCAACTACATGGAGGCATACACACAGCAGGCAGCAGCCTGCGGAGCGGTTGTGCGCCTACTGCAGTCGCTGAAGGATGAAAACTGGTGCCTGCCCCTGATGTACCGTGTGTGCCTGGACCTTAGGTACCTGGCACAGGCCTGCGAGAAGCGCTGTCGAGGATTCACGCCGGGTCATGTGCTGGAGAAGGCTGCCGACTGCATGATGGCCTGCTTTCGGGTGTGCGCCGCCGACGGGCGTGCCTCCGAGGAGGACACGAAGCGTCTGGGCATGATGAACCTGGTGAATCAGTTGTTCAAGGTGTACTTTCGCATCAACAAGCTGCATCTGTGCAAGCCGCTCATTCGGGCCATTGAAAATTGCGTGTTCAAGGACTCGTTTCCCCTGCCGGAGCAGATCACCTACAAATACTTTGTGGGCCGGCGGGCCATGTTCGATTCCAACTACCAGGGTGCCGTGGAGGATCTATCGTTTGCATTTACCAACTGCCCGGACCGGTTTGCCAGCAACAAGCGACTGATCCTCATCTACTTGGTGCCGGTGAAGATGCTGCTCGGTTACCTCCCAGCCAAGTCCCTACTCCAGCGCTATGATCTTCTGCTGTTCCATGACCTGGCGCTGGCCTTGAAGGCGGGCAATGTTAAGCGATTTGATGAGATCGTACGCGATCACGAGCTGGTCCTGATCCGTAGTGGTATCTATCTGCTGGTGGAGAAGCTCAAGTTTATGGTGTATCGGAATTTGTTCAAGAAGGTGTTCATTATCCGGCAAACCCACCAGTTGGACATGGATGACTTCCTTGCGGCCCTGCAGTTTGTGGGTGTGACGGATGTCTCCCTGAACGAGGCGCACTGCATCATCGCCAATCTCATTTACGACGGCAAGATCAAGGGTTACATCTCCCACGCCCACAATAAGCTGGTCGTGTCCAAGCAGAACCCATTCCCACCGCTCATTTCACTGTAGGAATTTTTAAAGATTGTAAAGACTAGACATTAAATTGAATACGAAAAGAGTTTTGTTTTATTTTATTATATAATTATAATTTTAGTTAGAAGTTACTAACCCAGAAAGGAGTAATATTCGACCCTATAAATTATTCTTGATCAGCATCAACTGGCGAGTCGATTTGTTAGTTTTTAGTTAATATATTTTAATTGTAAAGAACTTTTTTTAAACACTATCGCGATGGTCTAAAACCCATCGATAGTGCCATCACCAATGTTATCGATAGGAACTATCAATGTTTTGACACCTCTGCTCTTCCTGCTATTTCGCACTCAGCTTTTCACAAAAATTAAACAAATTAACACTAAACATTTGGGATTTACCTGGTAGGTGTGTAGGTGGGAACAGCGTTCGCTCCGGCAGCCCGGCATTCGTTTCTTAGCCACCTGTCCGTGCTCATCTAACGGCGCTCTGCCTCAGCCGGCTGGGCTCTGTCACTTTGCTATCGTAAAATCAATATTACTAATTTTGCTTTGCGTTTACAACGTGACATAACTAATAAACGCGCCAACTAAATTGTGTGTGTTTTCCCCTTGCCCCCCTCGTTGCAGAAATCCGCAGACACAGCAGAAAGCGACGGAAGCAGTCGCCCAAGAGTGCACCTGGATACCTGAAACACTACCTACACCGCCCGCAGTAGAGGCTAAAACGTAGACATGTCTGCGCCGGTCATTGTCGAGGCCACGGTCAAGCAGACCGCCACGGTAAGTATTTTGCCGGAAAGGGGCGGATTGCCTTTGTAGGAATTGGTTTTTAAATCTTCCAAACTTTCCGTTCCAGCTGATTTTCATGCATGGCCTGGGTGATACGGGGTAAGTGGGGTCAGAACAGCTACAGCAGCGGTCAAAATAATAGCTACTTTAGAAAATTAATTAAATATTTAGTTTTTTATTACAATGAAAATGAAGTATCAAGAAATCATTGATTTTTTGCGTTTAAAAATCAATAATTCCTAGCTATTATCTTGACCGCCACTGTATATATAATATTCTGGGTATATATATAATTTTTTTGGTTATTTTCCCTTACAGTCATGGCTGGAGCAGCGCTCTGGCTGCCATCCGGCCACCCTTTATGAAGGTCATCTGCCCCACGGCGCCCACACAGCCCGTTTCCCTGAACGCCGGCTTTCGGATGCCTTCCTGGTTCGACTTGAAGACCCTCGACATCGGTGGACCGGAGGATGAGCCTGGAATTCAGTCTGCTCGCGACAATGTCCACGGATTGATACAGAAGGAGGTGGCGGCTGGTATACCAGCGAATAGGATTGTCTTGGGCGGATTCTCGCAGGGCGGAGCTCTGGCGTTGTACTCGGCCTTGACGTACGACCAGCCGCTGGCCGGCGTGGTGGCTTTGTCCTGCTGGCTGCCGCTGCACAAGCAGTTTCCCGGTGCCAAGGTGAACAGCGAGGATGTGCCGATATTCCAGGCGCACGGCGACTACGATCCCGTGGTCCCATACAAGTTTGGCCAGCTGAGCGCCAGCATGCTCAAGTCGTTCATGAAGAATGTGACGTTCAAGACGTACAATGGACTTTCGCACTCCTCATCGGACGATGAGATGGATGACGTCAAGGTGAGTTCGGCTTGAACTGGAATTCTAGAATTGACCTGACAATGGCAACGCTAAAGAACTTCATTACGCTCTGTCTGCTCTTTTCGATTACAGGACATAATCAGTAAATGGGTAAACTAATTTCCATAGCACTCTTTAGAACGTACGAAAGCCCCCGAACCCGTATCCGACCCCAAAACCCGCACCCGTTGCATTCCAACGATCACGAAAAATGGAGCAGCCGAACATAATTAAAGCGTGCATATTCAATGAAAACTAAAATCAAAGCGCAGTAAGCGAAGAGAGGCACTGGCCGCCAGTGGCCACTTGGGAATCATGCAAGTTATAATGCTCTCTCGTAGCCCAATTATGGAAACTATCACTGAAAATCAATTCGAAAAGCAATCAATTATACACACACGTAGCTATTTACTTAATGAAATGCCAAAAAATACAAAAAACAAAACAAAACTAAAGCAATTTGCGAGTAAAATTCGCGAAAACCCAATTTGATATTTCGCTGTTCGCTGCTTAATTATTTCGGTTTTACTTATTTGGGACTTGTTCGTATTTTAATTGAAAATTAATAAAGTTATATAATCCAAACAAAATGAAATAAACAAAACTAAAAATTCAAACGAATGGATCCCTTAAAAAAGAAACTATATATTTCAGATTGCGGGATGAAACACAACTAAAACCATTTGATTTGTTCATTGTTTCTAACCGAAATACCTTTTGATTTCGACCCATTTTGATTCGAATCTTCGTTTCTTATTTTTTATTTCGCACAGCAACAGAAAAACAATCACCTGTAGAGGCCACAGCGGTGCATCCTTCACTTGTTAAATCAATGGCAATAAACACAAAACCGGTTCCTCTCAGCCCAGACTCTCTCTTTCTCTTTATTATACGTATTATTTCACCTGCTGTCCTGCCGCATCACTCACCATCTCACCATCTATATATTTGCAGACACATTGGGAGAGCCAGAACATGGCTAGAAGGGCGCAATGCTGCCAGATATCATAGTAGCATCCAATGCGCTAGAGTAGTGAAGGTTCCTTCCACAAAAAAAAAAACAAAGCTCCTCCTCACCTCCTAGTCAAGACGTCTCGGCGGGCCGCACGAGAATTGTATTTTAGTGATTATTTTGTACATACACATTGCATACACACATTAACGATGGACTTGGCATTGTCCTGGGTGCCATCCAAGCAAGGCTTGTCCTCTCACCTGGTGAGGTGACAAGAAACTGATTCGCGAAAGCGAATTGCCAATAAAGTTATTTGATGCTCTCAATTCCAAGGCTGAACTTAATCAAAATCAAGAAGTGGGTGCAGCAGTTTAAAAAGTAGGTAAATCTCTTTTTTAAAGTTATTATTCTGTGTAACAGCAACTTTTAAACTTTTCAGCCAGTGTTGCAAAATTTCACATTAAACGGTATGTTATGCTTTTCTTACTTTTTGGTATGTTTTTTATTTACATTTTTGTGATTGCTTAAAAGCTTCAAGCTCTGATTTATCGATAAATAAAAAGGTAAAGGCGGGAATTTAAAAAAGAATTTTTAGGGTTGAGGTTTTTGGGGTTTAATATAAATGATTTCAGATTTACATTTTATTTTATTTAATTATAAATTATATATACAAATTAGCTAGTAACAATAGATTAATACATTTTTTTTTATATTTTACTTTAAACTACAAAAAAATGTCCATAAAATGTATTTTTCTTAGTCTAAGAATTTTCATATTATTTTTTTAATATTATATTTATATAATTACATATGTAAAATGACAATACTAGCTAATTTTTATACACAAGCAAAAAGGTTTACGGTTTTTTTTATAATTTAATAATTACTCATATTTATATTTGAGAACAGTGTTTGAAAATTTTTCCCTTTTCATTGGATAAATCACATTCTCAAAAGATCTTTAAATAATTTTTAAATAAAGTAAAATAATATACTATTTATAAACAAATTTAGAACCTACTAAATTGTTTATAAGAGATGTTATTTTTATAGTTTGCAATATTAAAGCAAAGTGAATAAATCAAAAACCTTTTAATTATATCAAAAAATCCAAATCTATACCCACTAAACCCACAAAATACAACCACAAATATTTTTTTGATAACCTGAAATACAAAAATGTAATCTCGAGATCCTTAACAAGGTTCACACCAAACCGAACCCATTTCAATTTGAAGAACCGAACTCGAACCCGAATCCGAATCTGTTGAGCTGCGACTTTAACTGCAGAGCGACCAGTGCGGTCAGTTGATTTCACGCCGCCGCCGAGTGTGGACGCGTTTTCCGCCAGCTCTTCTTTCTAAACTAAAGTTCGCGTCGCCCTTATCCTCCTCGTTGCCGGGAAAATAATTGAAAACTTAAACCGAAGAAATTCAAAGTAAGAAAAGTGCACTAGAAATAATCAATGCTATCAAAGAAATCTGGAATGCATATGCCAATCTAATCAATTCTGGCAGACTTGAGGTTACCTTTTTGTGGTTTCCCTGTGCGCTAAGCTTTGTTTTGTTTGGCCACAAAGGAGAGTGGCCTTTGTATTGTGCCTGGAGCAGTCAATGGGATGTGCAACAATGCCAAAAGAAGTACAAGTGTTTGCCGTGAAAGTCACAAAGTTCCATCATAATCTATCTAATGTGCAGCAATAGGCGTGTGTGTACATAGAGGATATTGTGTGTGTTGAGTGGGTGTAGATATTTGTGGATTATCGCTAAAAAGAATTCCGACTTGAGTACCTTATCTTAAAAGCTTGCGAAGAACTTGCATTGCAGTGACTAGGGGAAGTGGGAAAAAACACTCTAAAGTGGATTATGATTTCATTAAAAATTTTGGTTTATTTAGAAATAAATTTAATATAAATTCGAATTAATTTTTGACAAGTAAAGAACCAGTGTTCTGGATAAAACTTTGTATATATTTAAATATGATTTTAAAATATAAAAAAAAAACTGAAACAGTTTGAGTTTAAATTCTCTCTTATTATCAATTAAACAAGAGCGTGTCCCCTTTAATTTTCGCTGTTAAACATTCATTGCTAAATGCTCATCATGGTGAAATTTAATAGAACCACTTTTATTTTAATTGCTCAGTGAACTTAAAATTATATAAAAAAGTAAACTGCTACCTTGGCTCTTCCATTATTTATTATTTGCCTCATTGTTGAACTACGACTTAGGGTAGTAATTAAATAAAAACAAGGAATTAACCACTTGTTCACATTAAATTGCTTTCCTTTGTTCATTGGAAATCATTCTCACCGAAAAACTGATGTGTTTTGAATACAAAATTAATGGGAAAGTGAGTTATAATGCATTGCCCTCAGTTGGCAGATCATAAATGTATTTTTTTCGTATGAATAATTTGCTTAATTCCCCCAAAAAAGTCCAAACAATTATTTAGATAAGATCATTTTTATAATTTATGCAAATTTATTATAATTCCGTTTGAACTTTTGACTAAAAATAAACAGGTCTAACCATTTAATTACTAATTGCTTATTAAATTCGGGTATTTCTGTGGTTAGTTAGCTGGTTTTACCAAATTATAATGATTAGTTATGTCTGTCAGAAATTGAAGAATAATATCGATTTGCTGGAATGGCCAGTTTCTTTACTTCTTCTTCCTCAACACCACTTTGTGTTAGCTAATTCTTCGTTATGCTAAGCAAGTTGTCGGGGGTCAAGAGTCTTTGCTGAATTGAAATGCCTCGGTTGCCACCTGACGTCACGGAATACACTGCCTAGAATAGAAAATAAATCTGACAGCCGACATGTAATTAGCATAAGTCGAGCTGAGCTACCCGAAGAGCCACTATATTTATACCCTTGCAGGGTATTATAATTTCAGTCAGAAGTTTGCAACGCAGTGAAGGAGAGGTTTCCGACCCTATAAAGTATATATATTCTTGATCAGCATCAACAGCCGAGTCGATCTAGCCATGTCCGTCTGTCCGTCTGTCCGTCCGTCTGTCCGTCTGTCCGTCTGTCCGTTTCTACGCAAACTAGTCCCTCAGTTTTAAAGCTATCTCAATGAAACTTTGCATATAGTCTTCTATATACTCTCACTGCTATATATGTCGGAACGGGCCGGATCGGACGACTATATCATATAGCTGCCATACAAATGTTCGATATATTTTTAGAAAAAAAATTATAACTTTGTTGTTTTTCAACATTTTGGCACCATTTTTTAGATATGACCATTTTATATTATTTCTGAATTTTGGTAAAAATTTTATGAAAATCGGACGACTATATCATATAGCTGCCATAGGAACGATCGGGAAATAAATAGAAAAAAAAATTATATATTCGTTGTTTTTCAACGTATTTTCATCTACTCCGGGATATAAGCTTATTTTATTATTCTAGAATTTTGGTATAAATTTCAAAAAAAATCGGACAACTATATCATATAGCTGCCATATAAACCGATCGGTAGATGTATACAAAATGTAAAGCTGGGAATGCAAAACTGTAACTGTCAAACTGTAAACATAATAAGTATAGGTAAAATGTAATGAAATAATATCTGCAAGGGTATACAAACTTCGGCGTGCCGAAGTTAGCTTCCTTTCTTGTTAAGCTTTCAATTAGACAAACTTATTTTAAGAGCAGTGTTTATTTCCTTGTTGTAAAGAAGTGACTCAGGATGCAGTTTTATCTTTAGATTTCGGTCTTAAAAGGCTTCTTCTCCAGAAACTGGAACTGGTTTCTGATCTGCTGGCGCCCGTTGAAAGGGGTTCTGGCGCCAAGAGCATTAATTAAGTAAATAAGACGCAAATTCGGTCTCAAAACCCGAAGAATTCTAAAGCTTTTAAAGCCTGTTTACATGGTAGGCAGGATCAGACCATTAGCTTGTTGACAATTTTTAATAAATATTTATTAGCCTTTCAGTAAGATGGATTACTAAGTGTCATTCAATTCAATAAATCACATCGGTAAGTGGGGAAATGATAAATATCTTTGCATAGAATGAAATAGTGAGAGCATTAGATACTAAGTAAATAAGCTCTTAATTGTTTTAATTAAACAGGGGAGGCCCTGTTTGATAGAGAAATTGCAACTGCGACTGTTGATTGTAGTACTTGAAGATCGTGACATGTCTGTCAATCTGTCAGCGATAAAAACTCTTTAGGTTTTTATAGTAATTTCTAATAAAATAAATAAACTAATTAAAATTTACAAAGCTTGATTAAAAACTCTTTCTTACTATAATATCTATTGAAAAAATAAACTAAATAAAATATATATAGATTAAATACCTCATATATTTGTATACATTTGTGGATATTAATTATATATTACAAATAATATAAAGTGGGTATTAAGTGTTGTATCTATAAAGTTTTTATCTGGGAATATGCGGATTCTTTGACGTAACTAAATAGCTCAAAATAAGGCGTCTTTCCATAAATAAGTTTACTCTTGCGGCTAGTTTAAGAGAAAAGTTGTACATTGTGTAAAATAAATCTAAATGATATTCTTTGGTTCATTGAATATGTATTAGATTAAAAAAAATTAATTTAATTGCAGGCTAGAGGCATTTTACCGGTATAGATACTATATCTTCTTGTAACCATTTAGTCTATATTTTAATTAAAATAATTACAAAACCTTCAATGCTTATTAAAAATCCATTAAAAATATGTTAAACATAACCATAACATTTATTTAAAAATCAGTTTTGTGAAAGAACTGTGCCATGCCAGTTTAATGACTAATCTTGGTGATACTTTTCCACTTCTCAAATAATTTAACAAGAACAATTGTGCAAACACAGAGGCAGGTGAACCCTTTATCAGGTCGCCTCTCCCATTGAGGTGTGGAATTCAAGGCCGCTTTTAAAATTTTTTTTGATAAATCGTGTATACTTTTTTTGTGGTTTTATATTCGTCACGGTCTCTTCGCCTCTTCGCCCCAAACATGTCGAAAAATCTATAATGATTAATTTTTATTTGCAGCGCGTAATCTCTGGCGAAGAAGCAGTTCTCCGATCAAAACAAAACTGGCAATAAATCTGCAATCACACACGACCACGACCAAGTGCGCGTGCATAAAGAGTAACAAAAACAAAACTCGGAAAACATACACACAGAACCATAATAATCGCACTACTGACAGAAATAAATAAAAATATACAAAAAAACATACAGAGTGAAAATATCAGCGCCCATTCCCATTCCAATTCCGACTTTGGTGCGGTAGGTAATGACACATTCGGCAAACGGCGCACGTATCTAGATGCCAACGGGCACAAGTAGTATCTGAATCCATCAGGGCCCCGCCTTTTGCCACCCGCAACGCCCATATATTATAATATATATGAGTTTTTAAAAAGCGGCATTAAATAACCATCAGCAGAACCCATCAAAAGTCACCATGGAGCAGTCGCGAAATCTGCTCACCAAGCAGTCCAAAGATGTTGAGTTTCAAGATGTTTTCTACACGGTTAAGGAGAGGAAGAATTTTTGTAAGTGTAATATATCCTATAAATATTTAAAATTAGTTATAAGGAAGATTTTTAGTGCAAGAGATATTACTTAAAATACTTAATTTAATTAATATGAGAATGGTAACTACAATTTATTAATGAAAATATGCGATTTTTATAGATTCTTCAGTTTTTTGTCTTGCTGAAAAATTAACCATTACAACACTTAAATTATTTGCTTTTAATTAAATAATAAAAAACTTATAGCTTTGCCTTTAAAAAGAGTTTTCAAAAACGTTTGTAGGACAGCCAGTTGAGTGATTAATTTTGTAATTTTTCGTTACACATTTTATTTTATAATATTTCTTTAACCATTTACAAATTAAGATCTCCTAGATAGACCACTTGAATGAAGATAGAAATTTTGTAATTTAGCTTTAAACATTTGTATTTTATAATATTTTTGTATACACCTATTAGTTAACATATCCCAGACAAACTTACCTAAATGTGCTAATAACAATTTAAATATAAAAAAACTGCTTTAAAGTCCTTCATGGCTCTAGGGCAAAGCATCTGCCAGCCAAGTTTTATGTGAAATATCTTTGCATTGCATAGGTTTTTTTCTTCTTTGTTTTTGTTAGCACTCGAATACATCTTAGTAGACTTTAGCTTGGCATTCGGTGTTATGTGGTCTCTGTGCAATATTTCCAGCGTCTTGTTATGGCCAAGTAGCTGGCTGGCCAAGCGCTAACTGCTCCATAATTATAGGGTCAAGTCAAGCTTTTTGCGCAGTTTTTAGCCTCTTTTTTCGACTTTATTTCTAATGTCAATTGCTTAACTTGTTACATTATTTGTTAAGGTTTTTAAACGAAACTGACAAAAGAGTTACATTCTTAGGGTGTTTTTTTGCCACCCTGTTGGCATAAGTTCAAGCTTGGTGTCTCCGGTTGTGCATGCCATTGACACAGAATCGAAAGGAATTGCAAATGGCAATTGGAATTACATATATTGGAAATTGTAAATGCAAGTGACAGGGCCTCAAGTTTGTTCTGGTAGAAAGCACTACTTGGAAATAGAATTAGATACAAGTAAATAAAATGTATTGGTATATAAAAAACTAATATATAAGTAAGATACTCGATACAAATTACTGGTTTTTATTTTATTAACAAAAAATGTAGATAAATACAAATGTAAATTGAGAAATTAAATAGAGTCTTAGGTTTTATTGCTCATAAAAATAGGAAAATATAATCTTTAGAATATAATTTATATATTTTATAGCTACACTAACCCCTGTATTTTTTATTTATTTTTAACTTAGAAATTCTAGAATTATAAATCTACTAAAACATATTTTTTCTACGATTTTTTCAATAGTTTACTTGTCAAAGTTCATCACGACTTTAATTATTTTAATTTATCATTAGCCAGAAATATACTATTATTCTAGGAAGTTAATCTCTGAGATAAACAATCTATTCCTCCGGATATGCCCTTGAAAACCCAGTCGTGCCTTTTCAATTAATCGCTTCTAAGCCATCAGTCACCCAGAGTAGCTACTACCATCCATCAGGTGTGTGTTTAATTGGCTGTATTTGGCAGTTAGGAGAGGAAATGCCAGCGAAACCACTCACCAATAACTTAGTTTTCAGTGGAGTTGAGCTTCCTGATTCAATCTCTGCAATCAGAGACAGTCTCAAGTACGACTGATGATTAATTGTTGCTCATACGCCATGTGCAACGTGCAACGTCGCCATGTGGAATAATCTAAAAAAAACGATAAATATGAGAATAATGCATACAAAACGTTAATTTCCATTAAAATAAGGCTTAAATATATTACAAACCATTGGATAACTTTTGGTTTCAAACAGAAACTCCCCAACTAGAGGTTGATGCTCTCTAAACCATAAACATGTCAGATCAATATTGACCGCCACTTTTGAAACGCACTGTACAAATTAATATGTACATAGAAATCAGTAGTATGTGAGCTTAATATTTTGAGTACACACACGAGTATCTCGCTGCAAACACATAGAGATAGATATATGCGACTTCCTCGATGTGCCCCGCATCAATGGAAACTACAGTAGTTGTTGGCTGAATAAAGGCAGCGACAAAAACATCGGCAACCTCATCATCATCATCACCATCATCATCATTGGCACTAGCTGGAGGCAATTGCAGCCACAAAACAGCAATATTATGTTGGCGCACAGGGAAAAGCGAAAATTGCCCAACATTGATTGAATAATTTTTCCCCTCCAAAAAGTCGCGGTCTGGACATGTTTTTTTGTATTATTTTTCCCGCTTTTCCCTGGAGGCGGGTGGCCAGTCCAATGTCCGGGTTTAACCAGGCTGACCACTGCGATTGCTAATTAAACGAAATTATACTTTTGTTTTATAGATTCAGCACTTGAAATAGTTATTTATATGTAGTTTTTATAGCCCTTTGATCAATCATCTTAGTTGTTGACTTGGTGATGAGTGAGTGAGTAGCGTTTGATGGGTGGTCAAAGATCACAGAAACCTAAGGAGATTAGTTTTTATATACCCTTTTCTATTATTCGGTGAGCTTGTTGCATATTAATTTTAATTTGTATTTCGTGTAGAAGCTTAACTCTATAGACGTGCCAATGAAATCGTGTTAATTGGTATTGCATCAATTAGCAAAACCGAATTGTGGCTTTCAGTTGAGCTGGCTAAATTCCAAAGATTTGTTTAGCTAATTAGAGAATTTTGTGTTTCTATACAGCGCAGTTTCATTTATGGCTTGAACTTGAATAGAAATTTGTAATTTTAATGAAAAGTAATTTATAGCAGAGGCTATAAAAAAGGTGTTTTAGGTAATTACTACCAGCTGCAAACCTAAAGTATCTAGAGCCTAGTTTAGGACCCTTAAAAATCAAGTAAGATTTGGTTTATGTATCCCATTTCTAGTCTTATTTAGCTCATAAAAACATATAAATTAAGCAAAACAATTTCCCAAATATTTAAACATAAAAATCCAAACCATAAACAACTCAAAACACACACATAATTACCATTTCCCTCACTATCTTCGAAAAGTCTCCCGTTGTCACGCCTCATTATGTGACTCACGTAGACTCGTGGGAGTCCACAAGTCCATCGGTAGGCGGTTCGTCAACCCAGGCCTGGCCAACGTGCCTCTGGTGGTTCGATTGTTTTGCTGACAATTAGTTTTTTGGGGGAGCTGCGCGTGCTCAGAACGTGGTGGTTGGTGATCATAGAGAGAGAGAAAACTTTGGAGCCGGCGGCTAATTGATATGTAGACTGGGCGGACCGGTACACACGCTTATAATAGGATTTGCATCGGACTCCGACTGGTCGCCGTTGTCAGTGACCTTCTGAAATTGGTTCGCGAACCGCGATTCGGTTGCGCCATGAATGTTAATTGCTGATACTCGGGAAATTACGGGTGTACGGTTAGAACTGGGTCAGTTATCGGGAGGCCAGAGATTGTTGAGGAAGTAGAGTAATTGTCATATTATTATTTAAATATTTAAAAGTGGCATTTAATACTTGCAGAAAATATTTAAGAATTGTCATAGTTCAAAATATATAATAATTATATTTTTATTATTAAAATATTGTTAATTAAAGCTTAGGGGAAATTTAAAAGAATTTTCTTATTCTACTTAAAATAGTGGGAAACAAGAAAGAAAGCTAACTTCGCCAAGCCAAAGTTTGTATACCCTTTCAGGTTACTATTGGTTCAGGAAATTCTTCATAAATAAGTCAAAAATTGATTAATTTTAATTCGGAAAGCAGTTTTGTATTAGTTTTTATAAGGTTATTAAATCTGCATACTAAATTAATAATTTTAAAAAATTCAAATTTTTTCGAATTATTGAAAATTTTAATGATGTAACCCCTTTCATTTTTTTGAAATTTTTTCAAATTTTTTTTTTAAAGAGACATAGCTAGATTGACTCTCCTGTTAATGCTGATCAAGAATATATATGATTTATAGGGTCGGAAATGACTCCTTCACTATGTTGCAAGCTTCTGACTGAAAAAAAGGTAATTTCAGTTTACAAAAATATTTTCTAAAATTCCAAGATATCTCTTAAAATGTAGGGAACATTTTTTAAGAATTGTTATATTATTATTTAAATATTAACACATTCAAATAAAAACTCTTTACATATCTTGAATATGAATATTTTCTATGAATTTTAGCTTTTAAAGTAATAAATTAACTATTAACCTACCATTACTTAATTTAAAAATTCATATAATATTTGATGTTACCTCTTGGAGATTATTATTATTTCATTTTGTTTATTATTATGTTATTAATAATTGAATTTGAATTGTTGATCCGGTTCGTTAGACAGCTAATCGCTTTGAAAATGTAATATCAACATGATACTATATAAAATTGATAACAGACAGGCATTGACATTGAAAATAAACATGTATAGAAATGAACTGAATGATAACCTACTTCCGCTGATTCTGGCAATTACAATTTAAAATTTAAATTTTGAAATACATAAAAATATAATTGAAATTAGCAAATAAATAATTAAAATTAAGTAGAAGCTGCAGCTTGTTGCTATGTAATTGGGGCAAGCCAGACTCTGCGCAAAAATCAATTAATGTCTGATCTATAAGAGATCGACCTTCGGCTTGATGCAGTACTAGAGTACAGCTGATAAGAGAGGCATTGGCACAGATTAACTCAGCCGCAACTGACAGTTGGCGGTGAATGCAGGTCAGGTTCGTTTTATTTGCAAAAAAATAGGGAAATTTCTTCGTCATTTTTGCTTGTAATTTGAGTTTATAATCTTGATTACTTCTTAGTGATTATGAATTTTTCCACAACCGTGCCGAATTTGAAATGGCATGAATTATACACGTGCGTAAACCTAGAATATTATAGAAGGTCGGATCGGTGTCGGTGTCAGTTTCTCCGGTAATTCAAAATACAGACAGGGCGGAAGCTGGTTCCACTTTTGCCCAGTCATGCAATCGCATCAGACCCATCAATTGTCACCTTTGGTATCTTTCCGCTGCCAGGCCATGACATGACATTTTCGGAAGTGTTCCCAAGCTAATTCCCCCAAAAAATCAATGAAAGTGAATGTGATTTTTCCATTCTACGTTCTAGGGTTGTTTAAATAATAATGAAACTAGATTTATTTAATTTATTTCATTCCGCATTTATGTGTAGATTGTTTTAGTTTTTGCTGTATCAGCAGACTAGACCAACCAGTCCGAAAATGTTAACGTTCCTACGTAATCGGCGGAATATATTATTTCCAGGTGTCGGTGTTTTTTTCTATGATTCACTTGTACTTTCGATCGTGTTTTTGTTTACATATGATTAGCATATTTCTACGCTTCTGTATTTTAATGGGAAAGCCCTAGGGAGAGGGGCTATTACGTTTAATAGAAAATGAGTAGGTTTTAAGTGAGATCTAATTACATTTATTTGATTTATTTGTCTTTATTATATTATAATCTTCTTTAAAAATATGTATATTTTACAATTTAGAATTTTCCTAATATAATAATAATCCTATTGGTGTTAGTTATAATATAATCTTCTCTAAAAATATATAAATTATAAATTGTAGAATTTTTCTAATATAATTATACCCCTATTAGTCCTAATTATAGAGCAATCTTTCTTAAAAATATATAAATAATTAAGTTTAGAATTTTTCCAATATAAAATTACCCATATTGGTCTTAGTTATAATATAATCTCTCTTGAAAATATATAAATTATAAAATCTAACAAATTTTTGTATTGTAATAATACCTCTATAGGTCGTAATTAAAATAAATTCATCCCCAAAAATATATAAATTATATAGAATTTTATCTAATATAATAAATCCTATTACGCAATTTATATTTTGCAGGGCGCGTGACCGGTGAGCGCCGGATTCTGAACGGAGTCAGCGGCAGTTTCCGGAACGGCCAACTCTCGGCCATCATGGGACCCTCGGGAGCCGGTAAAAGCAGTTTGCTAAATGCGATTTCGGGTTTCAGGTAAGAACAATAAAAATCGAAAAAAAATAAAAACCAGACTGGACGGGCTGCATTCGAGACGTCATCGGGATTGAAGTGTAACAAAGCCCAGGCGCCGCCGCTAAAATACTTGGTATATCATTTGGTTACCGTCAAAACCGTGAACCGGTTCTATGCTTGGCCAACTGGTGATTAAAGCCATGTTCATTCTGAGTCAATTTGGCCAGCAGCCGGTCAGCCAGACTTAAATGCGAAATGTCAAATGGGTTCTGCAGGGTTTGCTGGGGCGGTACAGACTCTCAGAACCATCTTAGCCTTGAAAAAAGGTGACAGACAAGCGCTTAAAAGATGAAGCTTCCTCAATAAAGATTTGGGGAGTTAAAAAATATAAATAGAAATGCACAAAAATGCTTATTAAGTAAGCTAATAAATCTTTGTTGAAGACTCTGAAGCTTTTTATTACGTTTATGTCATTTAAAATGCTTCAACAAAACCAAGCTTAAGCTGAAGTTTACCAGAAAATATATATATTTTTACTATATATCTCATTTTTTTTCTATTTTAAAACCTCTTTTAACCCTTCCTTTCCAGGCGCGACGGCGTCACTGGCAGCATAAAGATTCGCAGAGACAATGCCTGCTACATCACTCAAGATGACCATCACCAGACCCTTCTCACAGTCGAGGAGCTCATGAATCTCGCCTGCGACCTCAAGCTAAAACATAGGCACAAAAAGCAAGAGATCCTCACGGAGATCCTGGAGAATTTACATTTAAATCATCGACGCAATGTGACGGCTGAAAAGCTTAGTGGCGGCGAGCGCAAGCGTCTGTCCATTGCTTTGGAACTGGTGGATAATCCAAATATTTTCTTTTTGGATGAACCCACCAGCGGTTTGGATGAGGTGACGGCAGCCCAGTGCATACGCCTGCTGAAGGCCATGGCCCACGAGGGACGCACTATTGTTTGCACCATACACCAGCCTTCGGCCACGATATATAATTATTTTGACAGCATTTACGTCTTGGCCAAGGGTCATTGTGTATACCAGGGCAGCCCGCGAGCCACTATACCTTTTCTGAGACTGGCTCAGCTGGATTGTCCCAGGCATTACAGTCCCTCGGATTATAGTGAGTGAAATATGGGATTATCTTATAAAATATCAATTAAAAATTAAACTTTTTGCACAGTTATTGAGCTGGTGGATGCCGAGGATGGCCACCTTGTGCCTGCTCTCAGCGAGCTAACCGAGAATGGAAAGCTGATCTATGTGGCCAGTCATTCGGATCAATTGGATGCCACTTTGGAGTCCCAGCAGGCTGTGACCACCATGTTTGTGGAGCAGCCAAAGCGTCCCTTTCTGCCCACCTTCTTTGCTGGCAGTGCTGCCTCTACAGATGGTTCTTTGATTGGTGGAACAAGTGCCTTGTTGGAACAGGTCAAGGCTCTTTCCAGGCGATTGCACACGGATTCTCGCGAGATCTCTGGACTGAGACAGTTTGTGGTGCTCATGCGTGTGATGTTGCTGAGGATAACGCGTGCTCGTTTGGCTTTAATCATACAATTGTTCCATCATTTGCTCTGTGGCATATTCTTTGGTTTGATCTTCTTCCAACTGGGAAATCAGGGAGCGCGAATGTTTGATCATCTTAAGTTTTGTATTGGAGCTGTGCTTATGATTGTGTACACCCAAGTGATGGTGCCTATTTTGAGCTGTGAGTATTAGTAAAATCTCTTTAGCGAAGCATTTCCTTTATCAAATATTTTTTAATAGATCCCGCTGAGGTCAAGGTGGTCAAAAAGGAGACTTTTAACCGCTGGTATACCCTGACACCCTACTATATGGCCTTGACAATCTCACGCCTGCCTCTACAAGTGCTGCTAAACATCACCTTTATGGCGGTGACCTACTGGATGTCTGGCTTGCCAGAGCAATTCTGGCGCTTTGGCATCTTTGTGGCTGTTGGTTTAATGATCTCCCTGGTGGCCGAGGGCATGGGCCTGGCTATAGGGGCCACTTTTAGCATAACAGTGAGTTTTGGAAAGCAACCTAATGAGATTCTTCTCTAAATCTATTAAAATTCTCCTTCCAGAACGGCAGCGTGGTGGGTCCCATGATCATAGCCCCTCTCATGGGCCTGGCTGTGTATGGCTTTGATTTTGCTCCGCAAATCACAGGCGGCATGCAGCTCCTGATGAAGTTCAGCTATGTCCGTGTGGGCGTGGTGGCTTTGGTCTTGGCCGTGTTTGGTTTCCAGCGGGAGGAGCTGGACTGTGATGACATCTACTGCCACTTTAGCGATCCGCGTGTGCTGCTCAAGTTCCTCGATGTGGAGAAGGTGTCTATACTCCATCAGTTTGGCATTCTGGCCATGCTGATGCTCTTCTTCCGGGTGATAATGTACATAAGCCTGCGCAAGCGCTGCTATGCCTGAGTCTGGCTTGGACTGGCAGCCTCCTGATGAATCTTACTCCCTAGTTTTAGGCCCATGTCAATGCTGTGATGTTCGATTTTAAACAGACAGATGAGGATTTTTCTTGTAAATATAAATAAACCCATTCCCAAGAAAGGATATACTTAAGGTTAGATTTGTAAGTTAGTTTTAAGATCACACTCATACACACAACTCAGCAAAGCGCACATTTTATAGAGTTTAAAACTAGTTTGCTTGGTAAAAGTGATTTAAATTCGAATTGTTTTAAGAAATGTTTATTATTATTTTGATATTAAAAAGAGTTAAATGTTAATAACATTAGAAGTTGGCTTCCATGTCTCTATCTTCTCTTAAAAAAGCGTTTTTAGCAGCACAAGCTGCTCCCTAAGAGGAAATTCTAGTAAGTAAAATAGCAAATGGTTTTTTTTTAGTTAATGTATTGTTTTCTGTACAATTTAATATTGTATATAGCTTTGTTACAAAATCAAAGTTAACTTTATAGCTTAAAACAAATATTTAAAGATCTTTATAAAAACCTTTAAGTTACTCATCTGGTTTACATTTTTCTTCTAAATAAAAAGTAATTAAGGCTAATTAGAATCCAAGGCAGGAGCAGGATTAGTAGCTTTACTCCTACTTCTTCATGCTGCCCAATTTCTCCTTGCGTTTCTTCACATGCTTTTTCACCTTGACTTTGCGCTGCTCAGCCTTGGCTTCCTTTACGGCTTTTTTACGAGCTTTTTTGCTTTCCGGCGATTCATCACGCGGTCGGGCAGAGTTCTTAAAGTGAGTGCCATCATTATCGTCGTCCTCATTGTCCTGGGAGCCCCCCTCTTCCTCGCTTTCTTCCGTGTGAGCTTCATCGGTTTTATTTTGAGACTCCAGAATGTCAGGCTGCTGCTGGACATCCAAATCCGAATTTAGGCCCGTGATTTTGCCATAGATGAGATTTTGCTGGACACCCTCCTTGGCCTGGGCCACATCACGCTCAAAGTGACGAACCTGTAAAAGGAAATGATTAAAAATCTTTCAAGTTACAAAAAAAACTCAAACAACTCACCTCATCCAAGCGCTTGGGAATGTAGGTGTTTTGCCACACGGCCTCATCGATCTTCTCCTGCGCCGATATAGCCTCAAAGTCCCGATCCTTGATCCTCTCCGCTATCCTCTCCAGGCACTCCTCCATATTTTGCTCATTGATGGTCTGGTCGGTGATGAAGTCAAACAGCTCCTTTACCGTCATGGTGGCCACGGCCCGCTTGCGGAAAAACTCCGAGATGTTGGTGCAGTCCTTGCGCAAAAAGTCAAACGAATGCGGATGATCATGCTCCACGGCCTGGCTGACATCGATGATGACCAGCTGTCCATCCTGCAGGAGGATGTTGAACTCGGAGAGATCGGCATGTACCAGACGGCACTGGTTGTATATGCGCCACATGATGACCACACAATCCCGATACAGCTCACGTGCCTTGGACGTAGTTAGCTCCACATCCTTGAGCTTGGGAGCAGGCCAGCCATCGCGACCGCAGAAGCGCATGACCAGGACATGGGATCTCAGAAGGATGGGCTCTGGTACCGGAACGCCAGCGTTGCGCATGCGCAGATAATTCCTCATCTCCTTCTCCGCCCAGGTGCGCACCATCTTTCGGGGATTGTGCTTGCAGTAGCCATGACGGAAGCGAAATTCACCAGACACATACTTGTCGCGATCCTTGAACACCAGTATAGACGTCTTGTAGATCTTGATGGCATACTCATCGCCTCCATCCTTGGACACTGCATGGTAAACGTTCGCCTCTTTGCCCGTGGAAATGCAGCCATTGATCTCTTGAATGAGTCCCCGATTCAGCAGCTTGAAGAGAATCATGCGAGTGCGAGGATCCATCACCTGCTCGGCGGTGGCTCTGTCGTGTTTGTCCCGCACCTGCGTCCGCTCTCGCCGATCAAAGTTTACCAGCCGGTTGGCTGCCTGGGCACTCATGTTGGTGGTGGGATCGTATTTCTCCACATTAATGCGGGCGGAGTAGCGTCGCAGGAGCTTCTCATTGGGCTGATAGCTGCTCACGCGCTGTGTGCCTCCAGAGCCGCCTCCTCCTCCACCGCCGCCGCCGACGCTGCCTGCTCCCCCAGCATGTGTGAGCTGCGGCTGGACGTGGAGCTTATTGAAGCCCGTGTAGGCCTCCTCGTAGGTGTCATAGTCGTCGCCCACTTCGTAGTCTTCGTCTTCGTAATCTTCCTCATTCTCATGCTCTTCCTCGTCTTCATCCTCCTCATTTGTGGGCTCTATTACCAGTGCCAGGTCATCGCTGGCTTCCTTTGGCGTCAGCTTGATGTCCTTGAAGATTTCATCCTCGACTGTGAGGGTTTTGAAGTCGTTGACCCACTCGGACTGCAGATATCAAGGATTTTTGTAATTTAGGATTACAATTTCATGAATTTCATGCATAAATTGTTACCTTTTTAAGGTCTTCTTCGTCCTCCTCGGCGTCGCTGTACTTGTGCGTGTCGTCTTTGTCCATCTTAGGGCACAACCAGTAATCCGTAATACGTATTTATAGCCCAAAAAAGCTTTTTAAACAATGCAGAAATTACACAAATCGCTTAAAGTTCTGAAATTTCACAAAATTGGTTTAAACCACACGTGTTGGGAATTCACACGGAAGCGCCGACATTGTTTTGGTATTTTTTAATATAATTTGGTATATTTTGTCAGTCAAATTTGGTCGCATTTTTTAGCCGGTTCCGCTTTGGTCACACTGCCCCGCCACACATGTTTTGTTATGCACAAAAACAACAATGAACGACCTGTAGTTTTTGATTTAAACAATTTCCTTGAAATTCGGCGCCATGTTCGTGCTGGCTGAGCTGAAGGACAACGTGCGCATTGCACCTGACCAGTTCCACCTGAAGCTGGTGGACGCTGTGCGCGACGAGATCGACCGCAAGCTGGCCAACAAGGTAAGGCCACCTTCTTCAATCCCAGGCTCACATTTCCTTAATTTACTCCCCCCATTCCCCAGGTTTTACTCAATGTGGGCCTTTGCATTGCTCTCAAGGATATCGTCTCTCTAAAGGACTCGGTTATTTTGCCAGGTGATGGAGCCTCTCACACGGAGGTGCTCTTTCGATATGTGGTCTTCCGTCCCATGGTTGGCACTGTGCTCACGGGCAAGATACGCAACTGCAGCCGGGAGGGTGTCCATGTGACGCTGGGCTTCTTCGACGACATACTCATCCCACATGCCGCCTTGCAGCATCCCTCACGCTTTGACGAGGCCGAGCAGGCCTGGGTCTGGGAATATCCCCTGGAAGATGGAGAAAAACACGATTTGTTTATGGATGTAGGTGAACCCATCAAGTTTCGAGTGTCGCGGGAGATTTTCGAGGAGACCTCCCCTATTGGACCGCCCAAGGCAGAGGCTCAGGCGCAGCAGGGATCCAGCACATCCTCGGCAGCGGCAGCCGCCTCTGCTGCAGCTGCTCAGGAGGTCAAGACGCCGTATAAGATTATTGTAAGTTGTATTGGGTGTGAAGATTTCTGGTTACTAATTATTGTTAACTTCTTTTCCAGGGTGCCATCAATGAGTCTGGTTTGGGCGTGCTCTCCTGGTGGGATCAGCAGGGCAAGGAGGAGGAGCAGGACGACGAGGAGGAGGAAGAGTATGACAACGACGAGGATGGCGAGGGTGCATGTGAGGAATGACACTGAATTTGATATTACACAAATAGTTGTAAGTGGACTTAAATATTTTCTTTTAAAAAAGAAAGTTAGTTATTTTTAATGTTGAAATATACAAATTATTACAAGGAAAATCCATAAAAAAAAAACACAATTTAAATCATTTTCTCCATTTATTTATTTATCATGTACTTGTAGAGTGGTTGTGTTGGTTTAGGACTCCGTTCATGATGAAGGACTCTCGCTCTCTCCCTCTGGATTTAAAAACAAAGCATTTACATTAGGTCTGAGAGGGAGGATTGCTTTAGTTCATTGGGCAGGAGGGGGGAGAGCAGCTCGCTTTAACGTAAGCTATATATTATATATAGAGTATCTTGTTTTCGGGGGCCAAAATTACACTCATAGATTGTTTCACATGGCTTTCGCTTCGACAACAATTTTTGCTAAACATTGTGTTAAATATTGACTCCTGGGGTAGCGTGCACCGATTCCTTGCTTAAAATACTTTCAGTTGCCGTAAGTTAGTTACAGATTACAGATTAGTCATATGGTACAATCGAAGTAAGGTTTTCACTGGTCAGGGTTAAGTTTTGTTTGTGTGTTTTCAATTGCATTTCTCGATTTAAAGCTGCCGGCAACTCGTAAATATTTTCAAATTTTTTCGATTTTTGTTTGGGTTTCTTTGCTTCTTTGAACTAATGTAATTGTTAATTGCATATTTTGATTCTTTGTAATTCATATTTGTTGTTTGTTTGTTCGTCTTTTTGGGCGCAATGTTTGTTTTGGTTTTGTTGGTAATTTACACGTAGACTGTATGTTTAGTAAATAAATAAAACGTTCGTTAAAAACTACAATAATATAAATAAATTATGTATATTTATAAATATATATATATATATATATTCATGCATGTATATTAGACATATTGCATTGCGTGTAAATAAATATCATCTTCGGGTCTTTTGTGGTACATATCGTCTTAAACAGATCAACTTAATTAAGTTCCGTATCAAATCACAGCAGAAATCATAAAAAGTCTAAAACTATAAGGGATAGAGAGTAGTAAGTACAGTGTTGACGGAAAGTTGAAGTCACATAGCACGCGAGGAACTAGCCGCCTGGAGGCTAAGTGTACGAAATAAGCATACACCGAACTCAAAACCAAAATCAGTGTCATCTAGAGTTGGGTCTCCGCCCATCATCGATTATTCAATGATCAGGCAGCGGGGCAGGTGCTCCTTCAAGTAGTCGAACAGCTCGTGCGACGCTCCCGGGCAGTTGGTCAGCTCCAGCTCTTGGAGGTGCCGCAGCTGGATCAGGCTGGACAGGCCCGATGAGGTCAGCAGCGGGCAGCCGGCCAGGGATAGCACCTGGAGGTTGCGCATCGAGCAGAGGTGCTGCAGCCCAAAGTCACGCACCTGGGAGCACCAGCGCAGGAAGAGGGCGGTGAGGGAGAGCATTGTGGAGATATAGCCTACGCCAATGTCTGTTATATGCACACATCTGGAATTTAAGAGGGGAACAAAATATATTTTAACATTAGGTTAGCTGTAGATTTAAAAATAGAAGTCGAAAGAAAACGATAGAAATTCTAAAAAATCATAAACTTAATTCTTTTTTATTATAAACTATGATAAATATGATTAGTACAGAGTATATGTCTAAGAAATAGGTATATTTTTCTTAAAACAACTCCCGGAAATCGTTAATAATAGTCTGGAATCTGTTTCTTCACTACTTTATTGGACTTTGGCCCCACATTTATTAAATTCCTTGTCCTCTTCAAGGCGCGGCTTGGGCTTCAACTCCTTGGCTAGGATGTTAGTGCATACACCAGATGTGTTCCTGGCTATAAGTGTGCGCATATTTATGGCAGAGATTGTTGCAGAAAATCTTATGTGGCGAGTCAACTGCCTGTGACCGAGCACAATCAGATTACAAAAGGAATTGCTGGGAAAAGGGGAAAAGTGTGCACTGGGAAAATTATGAAGAAACAAATACTAATTTAAATATTTATATTTATATATATTTTTATATCCTTCTCTTAATAATAATAGCACAAGGCTTCCAAAAGTAATTAACAAATCAAAAACACTTCACCTAATAAAAAATCTCCAAAAAACTATACTCCTGCAATTCGAAATAGTTTTCTGTGTGTAATTGACTGCCAGTTTCCGGGAGAGAACGACGACTAATGGCCCGCCGCCGGAGATGAGGTGCAGCTACTCGGCGACGGAAATTGAATTTTACTCATGAATAATTACACAGCAAATGGAAGGGTGGTAGGGTAAGTAGTAACAGCAACGACGACCTTGCGCCTGGCGGACTCAGACTCACCTATCCAGCGTCAGCTCCTCCAGCTGGTTCAGATCACAGGCGATATACTCGAGCGAGGCGTCCGTAATGCGGGGACACCAGGACAGGTCCAGGGCGCGCAGCTTCTGCAGATTCTCGGCAATCAGCTCCACTCCGTCGTCCGTCAGCTTGCTGCATCCGGACAGGCTTAGTACCGTGAGATGGGGCAGGGAGTGCACTGCAATCACAGAGAGGCGGAGAGTGTAGACATTAGTTATGGGCACCAGATGGGGCACTGCAAGGAGGCAAACTTCGAACTGGAAGCGAAGCATTCACCTCACATAGCTGGGATGTAGTTGCTTTTTGTGTGGGAATGGGGTCTCTGCAGACGGGTTAAGTATGTTTTGAGGAGCTAATGTTTTCCCTTTGCTCTGGCCTCATCAAGAATTTCAATTACAACCTTTTGATTATATGAAATCCTTTTAAAATAAATAGGGGGAAAAGGTGTGTTGTTATCGTAATGGGAAACACCTTGATTAATTTGTGAGATTTATGGTAATATCCTTACCACTAATTGCCTGTATTATTTAGTAACTAATTCTTTAAGAAACCTCAAAATTTCACATTCTTTAAATCGATATTTTATGATATTTTTAGAGGAAAAATTTTGGTGAAAAATCTAAGATTAAAAATATCATAACTAAGTCAAAACTGTATCGATTTCAATTTGGAAAGCATTTTTGTGCTAGTTTTTATCAGGTTAAAAAAACTGCATACTAAATTAATCATCTTAGGAAATTTAAATTTTTCTCAATTTTTGAAAAATTTAATGATGTAACCCCTTTCATTTTTTTGGAAAAATTAAAAAAAAAAAAATTCTTAGAGACATAGCTACATCAACTCGTTTGATGATGCTAATCAAGAATATATATGGTTTATAGGGTCGGAAATGAGTCTTTTACAAAATTTTAAGCTAATGACTGAAATTAAAATACCTTGCAAGGATTTACAAATTACAATTTAAGTAACATTGAAAAGCTGTAAAACAGGATTTAAAAAATTTCTTAAATTATGTTTGATACTCAAAATAAAGCTGATTATAAATATAAATCCAGAAATACATTTACTTTTCGTGAAATCTGTATTTAAATTCCCCAAATCAATGTCCTTCTAAGTTATCTACTGGAGAAGAAGTACTTCTATTGCTCTACCCTCCCACACACACACTCCCCCATTTAAGAAATTAAATATTATATAATAAAAATTAAGAAACATCTTAATGTTCAGGAGTGTTAAAAGTGTCGCAAAGCATTTACCCCAGTTTTGAGTTGAAGAAAAGCATTAAGCAATCCGAGTGGCAATTAGGTTTAGTGGCTATTTACATAAAGCCGCCTTGCTCTGGATTTGCCACTAAGCTTTATTCAGTCTCCAGTTGGTCTAATGTGTCATGTATCTAATTACCGCATCTATTTAAAGCTGAACAACAGCAGCCTCAACTGCTGCTCTACTTAGTCTGAGGCAGTTTCTCCTTCGGCCTGTGCCATTTGTGTCGACAACAGTTTTGCTTCGTTCCACATTTTGCTGTGTCACTTTCTGGCGTGTTTGTTCTGCTCTTCCTTTTGGCATGCTCTTCTTGTGAATCACCGATTGTTTGTCCTTTCTGTGGATGAATGCAGGATGCCCTGTTTTCTTGGGTATCCTTTGAAGTAGGCAACAAATGCGAGATAACCAGAGGTGTTGGAGAAATCTCTTTGGATTTCAAATCCATTGAAAAGGGTGACCGAAAGTAGGCTACAAAAATGTAGCCTGAACTGCTGACACCTTCTTAAAGGATCTCAAAAGAATGGAGATTTTAAAGGCATTTTTTAAATATTTTAAAAATATTTATAAGGATTTTCAATGTCCTATCTAGTTCAGGGTTAATCGATTTCTGAACAAACTGGTTTGAGTTGACACTGAAAATGTAAATATTTTCTCGGGGATAATCTGTGAAAAGTCAAGAGTTGTCTGCTGATAACAGGCAACCGATAACCGATGACAGAGCTCTCATAACGGTAGAGTGACAGCACACGGCTGCAATTACCGTTCGTAAGCCGCTTAAGGCTTTTGCTAATGGGAATTAGGAATATTTTCCGGCCAGAAAGGAAGGAGGAGGCGGAGGAGGGCACGTGCGGCGGCTGAGCAAACAGAGATAAAGGGTCCAGGAAAATCAGAGCAGACTCCTCCTCCACCCAGGCAAAGTAATGTGTGAGTTTGAGGCGAATTCCCATCTCCAGTCCGAGACCCCTAACCACTTCAACCCCTGCCCAAGATGAAAGAAGTCGAAAAATGCAGGGTCCACTCAAGTAAGCCGCTTTGTTCTTGCTTAGAATGACTCCATATTCAACTAAAGACACTGAGAAAAACTATAGTTTATTTGTAATAAATTAAAATGGATTTATAACAATATTTCTGTCAAAAGAACCCACAAAAAATGATGTTAAATATTAAGGAGAAGCTTCTTAACTCTAGTTTTATTATCAATAATTACTAGAATGTATGAAATACTTTATATTTATTTCAGTGCCCTCAAATACATTGGTTCATATGCAACTGCGGGTGGGTAGGTGGGTGGTTGGCTGGTTGTGTGTCCCACATTGGTTACTCGGATACTGAGACACCCAGTGCTCCTCGCGAGTAGAGCACTCCCTTGTTTGGCTTCTGACCAAAAAAACCACAAGGCACATACGAAAAGCGATTTGAATTACAAAATATGCGCAAACTAGAGAATCCACACTAAAAGATAGCCGCGATACTGTGGGCTGCTCTGGGCCAAATGGAAAACTACGCAAACAGCGAACTGAATGGAGGGGCCTATGAAAAATTAACACAAACATTGCCCGCTGTGCCGCAGCCTTTCTTCTATTGACTAACTGAAGCTGAAGCAAAGCTTTTATGTTGTTTTCATAAAGAGAGTGGGCTTTATTTTATGATTTACTGTGGAGTTTTGTGTGTAATAAAATGTAGTTTCAAGAGGAGAAAATCCTAAACGACTGGCATAAATGATAAGAAGGGAATCTAAGTTTGGGAAGCAGAAGTTGGGATACTCTTAGAGTTTGCCACAGGATGGGGGGAACTAATTGGAAATCAGTTATAAATAAACCCAAAAACCCATTAATTTTCAGTCTGAAAGTTAATAAATCTGTAGACTGAATTTAAAACCTTTTTAAATCAATATAGTTGTTAAAAAGACTTCCAAAATTGTCTTAAAGAAGTTTTCTATTCAAAATAAAGCTCTCTAAGAATTTAAATCCAGATATACATTTAATCTCAACCCCTTTTTAACCAGAAAATCCATGAAACCTCTAGTTAAATTCCCCAAATCAATGTCCTTCTAGGATATCTGATTGGAAAGAAATACTTCTATTGCTCCACCCTCCTGAACACACACACTGCTTGCATTCCTAGCTGAGTATTCACCCTTAAAGGACTTGCAAATCCTTGGCTAATGCATATTCAAGCGTAATTGAGGAGGCGGTAACAGCGTGGGGGGATTCAACGAGAAGCCGCAGCAGTGACAATAACCGTAACGCTGACGACCTAATGCCGACGGTCTCTGCTGATGATGGCCAAGCTGCCAGGGCTGCCATGTTTCCAGGCAACGGCTGCTCCTCAAGGAGCTAACTGTAATTGTATCTATGAAGCGGTGGATGCAGTACAATCGTCTGACGACGACCCAAAAGCTAAAAACCGCAAAAATACAAAAAAAAACACAACCAACGACAAAGGCGCCTCTGTGCACACAAACATCTAGTGCAAACAGTAAAGCTTCAGTAAAAACAACCAAAATTAAGGGGAGATTTTAATAGATTTACTCCAATGATGGTTGTTAATAATTAATAGAATAATTTCTTCCAAAAGAATTTCTTCTGGTGTTTCGCAGTAATCTTAAGGGTTTCAATCTCTGACTATTCAAGGAATTAGTAATATAGAATCTCCCCTGTACGTGTGTTTTAACGATGCACAGACGTAGATACAGTTACGTTGCACTAAGTCGAGTGCCGGCACTAGAAAAATTGTGATTAAGAGCCGCCGGCGACACCAGCAGACCACAAATACCATAGGGATACTCCTAGGGAGGGGCGGAAGGCGGGGCATCATCATCACCGATAGATTGATAATGATCGCAGCAGCCAGAGTGACATCGATTGAATTACACTCGGAGCGGATCGGGAGCATTAGCATTAGTATTAGAGGCCTCCGCAGATCGCTTCTCTTGCTTATTTATCGCCTGCGATCGTCGATGAAATTCATTTCGTTATCAGCCTTCCATCGACGCGCAACATCTCGTGATTCTCCGAGTTTGAATCGAGTCCCTAATCGAAACTTGACTTTATAGAATAAAATAAATAATATATATATATATATATATATAGTGGAAATAGTAAAAAGTTCCTATCCTTTTTTAACGTGTTGCTGTTTCGCTTTGTGACCGACACTAACGGGTAATTGTTTGGCCTTCTTAGCCGTTCCGCTGGATTACTCGTTTTTGCGATCACAAATCCTGAAATTGCAGCTAAGAGCAGCATTCAAGTGGAACTAGTGAACGTATAATTTGTGTGTTTAAAAGGACAATGAAATAAAGGAGATATTGAGCGAAAAAGGAACTTTAAGTAAGGAATATTGTTTAAAGTAAAGTTCTTACTTCTGACTTAATTTGACTTCAAAAAGCCTGCTCTAGACATTTATTAATGCAAAACAGTAGCCTTCATTGAATACTATCTGTATTTCCCTGATAACAAAACTGAATGCCAAACTGGTAAATATAGTTTAATCTTGAAAGGGTTACCCTGACGAGATTGTGATCTCTCTCTTCCCAGAAGAGACAGCCAGTTTATGCAATCAGTAATCGGAAATTAAAGCCAACTGAATAATTAATGTCTGAAGAAATATGTCTATAACTCAGCTCACATGTTATAGATACACTCAGACCTTAATAACTGTTTTTTTTTAAAGCTAAAATATAAGCTTAGAAATATTATTTAAAATCTATTATATAGATTTAGATTTTTAACACAAATTAAAAGTTATAGAACAGATCAATTCACTCAAATTACACCTCTCCTCTCCCAATAAAACTTTTCTATTCCCGGAAACTTTACTTGATTTTTGCCCACCATCAGCTCTCAGCTTTCATTATTGACTTTGTATTTGTTCTTTCGGGCAAAAATAAATTACTAGCCAACAAAGTTGGGCAAT